GATCCAGCGATCTAGAGATCCAGCGATCTACAGATCCAGCGATCTATAGATCCAGCGATCTATAGATCTAGCAATCTACAGATCCAGCAATCTACCGATCCAGCTATCTACAGATCCAGCGATCTATAGATCCAGCGATCTATAGATCCAGCGATCTACCGTTTCAGCGATCTACCGATCCAGCGATCTACCGATCCAGGGATCTACAGATCCAGCGATTTAACGATCCAGCGATCTATAGATCCAGCGATCTACACGTTCAGCGATCTACCGATCCAGTGATCTTCAGATCCAGCGATCTATAGATGCAGCGATCTATAGATCCAGCGATCTACCGATCCAGGGATCTTTAGATCCAGCGATCTACCGATCCAGCGATCTACAGATCCAGCGATCTATAGATCTAGCGATCTACAGATCCAGCGATCTACAGATCCAGCGATCTACCGATCCAGCGATCTAAAGATCCAGCGATTTACAGATCCAGTAATCTACAGATCCAGCAATCTACCGATCCAGCGATCTAAAGATCCAGCGATCTATAGATCCAGCGATCTACAGCTCCTGCGATCTACCTATCCAGCGATCCACAGATCCAGCGAACTACCTTTTTCAGTGATCTACAGATCCAGCGATCTACCGATCCAGCGATCTACAGATCCAGTGATCTATTGATCCAGCGATCTATAGATCCAGTGATCTACAGCTCCAGCGATCTACCGATCCAGCGATCTAGAGATCTACAGATTCAGCGATCTAACAATCCAGCGATCTACAGCTCCACCGATCTACCGATCCAGCGATCTACCGATTCAGCGATCTACAGATCCAGCGATCTATAGATCCAGCGATCTATAGATCTAGCAATCTACAGATCCAGGAATCTACCGATCCAGCTATCTACAGATCCAGCCATCTATAGATCCAGCGATCTATAGATCAAGCGATCTACAGCTTCAGCGATCTACCGATCCAGCGATCTATAGATCCAGCGATCTACTGATCATGCGATCTACAGATCCAGCGATGTATAGATCCATCGATCTATAGATCCAGCGTTCTAACGATCCGGCGATCTATAGATCCAGCGATCTACACCTCCAGCGATCTACCGATCCAGCGATCTACAGATCCAGCGATCTATAGATCCAGCGATCTATAGATCCAGCGATCTACCGATCCAACGATCTATAGATCCAGTGATCTACCGATCCAGTAATCAACAGATGCAGCGATCTACAGATCCAGCGATCTAAAGATCCAGCGATCTATAGATCCAGCGATCTACAGCTCCTGCGATCTACCGATCCAGTGATCTACAGATCCATCGATCTACCGATCCAGCGATCTACCGAACCAGCGATCTACAGATCCAGCGATCTACTGATGATGCGATCTACAGATCCAGCGATGTATAGATCCATCAAACTATAGATCCAGCGTTCTAACGATCCAGCGATCTACAGATCCAGAGATCTATCGATCCAGCGATCTATAGATCCAGCGATCTACACCTCTAGCGATCTACAGATCCAGCGATCTACCGATCCAGCGCTCTACAGATCCAGAGATCTATCGATCCAGCGATCTATAGATCCAGCGATCTACACCTCTAGCGATCTACCGATCCAGCGATCTACAGATCCAGCGATCTATAGATCCAGCGATCTACAGCTCCTGCGATCTACCGATCCAGTGATCTACAGATCCATCGATCTACCGATCCAGCGATCTACCGAACCAGCGATCTACAGATCCAGCGATCTACTGATGATGCGATCTACAGATCCAGCGATGTATAGATCCATCAAACTATAGATCCAGCGTTCTAACGATCCAGCGATCTACAGATCCAGAGATCTATCGATCCAGCGATCTATAGATCCAGCGATCTACACCTCTAGCGATCTACAGATCCAGCGATCTACCGATCCAGCGCTCTACAGATCCAGAGATCTATCGATCCAGCGATCTATAGATCCAGCGATCTACACCTCTAGCGATCTACCGATCCAGCGATCTACAGATCCAGCGATCTATAGATCCAGCGATTTATAGATCCAGCGATCTACCGATCCAGCGATCTACCGATCGAGCGATCTACCGATCCAGCGATCTACCGATCCAGCGATCTATAGATCCAGCGATCTACAGCTCCAGCGAACTACAGATCCAGCGATCTACCGATCCAGGGATCTAAAGATCCAGCGATCTAACGATCCAGCAATCTATAGATGCAGTGATCTACAGCTTCAGCGATCTACCGATCCAGCAATCTATAGATCCAGCGATCTACTGATCATGCGATCTACAGATCCAGCGATGTATAGATCCATCGATCTATAGATCCAGCGTTCTAACGATCCAGCGATGTATAGATTCAGCGATCTACACCTCCAGCGATCTACCGATCCAGCGATCTACAGATCCAGCGATCTATAGATCCAGCGATCTACCGATCCAGCGATCTACCGATCCAGTGATCTACCGATCCAGCGATCTATAGATCCAGCGATCTAGAGCTCCAGCGAACTACAGATCCAGCGATCTACCGATCCAGCGATCTAAAGATCCAGCGATCTAACGATCCAGCAATCTATAGATCCAGCGATCTACAGCTTCAGCGATCTACCGATCCAGCGATCTATAGATCCAGCGATCTATAGATCTAGCGATCTACAGATCCAGCAATCTACCGATCCAGCTATGTACAGATCCAGCGATCTACCGATCTACAGATCCAGCGATCTACAAACCCACCGATCTACCCATTTAGCGATCTACAGATCCAGCGATCTACAGCTCCAGCGATCTACCGATCCAGCGATCTATAGATCTACTGATCCAGCGATCTAACAATCCAGAGATCTATAGATCCAGCGATCTACAGCTCGAGCGAACTACAGATCCAGCGATCTACCGATCTAGCGATCTAAAGATCCATCGATCTAACAATCCAGCAATCTATAGATCCAGCGATCTACCGATTTAGCGATGTAACGATCGAGAATTGAAGTGAATTATTTTCGCGTCCGAAGTTTCGAACTGCTCTAAATATATTACCATGAAACGAAAAACTGCCGGCAATCCTTAAATTAATATTAATTAGGGAAATAATCGAAAAACAGAGGTAAATGATTGGTTTTAAATTAGCGCCGGAGCTAATTGTAATGGATAATTTATATCGAGCGACAATGATTTTAACCTTAAATGAAAACCTAAAACATTTTCGACGTTAATATTTAAATTTTTTTCCATACAACATATCTATCAAGATTTAACTAACCCAAATGCTGGAAGTAGTTACGCCTGAGCGACAAAAATTTACATCAGAAAATGAAATAAAACCTCTCGTTGTTTTCAAAAACTAAAGAACAAGAAAAGGATTTTAATTTTATGCTACTTAATCCGTCACGTTGAAGTTAAACATCTCTTCCACAATTTCTGCACGGAGGTATTATTTTTTCAAAGCGAGAACACAGTGGAATGGTGTTTGTAAATAGTTGGTTACGGAACTTGCGTGCATGATGCACTAATTGAATTAATCACGGCAACAATTGAGTCCAGACGTTTTAAAATACTTCCCATTAAAATAGGACACGAATCGTTGAATAAAAAGGACAGGAGTGGACACAACATCATGAAAGAATTTTCAGTCGGGTGAAAATAGAAGCGTTTGTACTTTCGTTGCGAAAACATAAAATTTGTCACTTGATAAAACTCAGACTACTTAAAACCAAAGGAAGATTATGGTATAGAGCAACGAAATCTTTCAACAGAATTTAAAAAAGATAGGAGTTGATAAATTACGAGATAAGCTTCGCTAAAAAAAAAACTTACAAATGAGCTGAGTAAAGTTATTGATCTTTGTGTAAGAAAAGCGTCTAAAAAGCTCTATATAAACGAAATGCTAATGAAAAAGTTTGGTTGAAAATGAAAAAAAAAATAAAACCTGAGACAAAAGGACGAAACAAAAACGAACACACGCAAAAAGAAGGAACGCGAAGCAAAGCGTAGATGTTGTTTTTGTTTATTTTTTGCTATCCATTAGAAACTTTAAATTATGGTGAAAGAAGTTTGGTACTGCCCCTCCTCATATATCCTAAGAATATCAGACAAGTGCAAACCACAAACAACAGTCCAAAGAAAGAAAAGGAAAGACAGAAAAAGAACGAATGGAAGAAAAGAGAGAAAACTAAACAAGCATCACCGTTTGGTAAACCTAAGGCTCGAGTGGAGTGCCTGTAAATAAGGTCACATAAAAGAAAGCTAAAACCAATTTATAAACCAGCTAAAGAAGAGCCTTGTATTATAAAGTGGAATCTTACCTCGTTTGATTCCTTAACTTCTTTCAAAAGTGAACCAGACTTACCCTCCTTCTCTCTCAACGACGATCTATTTATGACATGGGAATACAGGGGGTTACAAGGGGTTACAGGGGGTGACAAGGGGTTACAAGGGGTTCCAAGGGGTTACAGGGGGTTACAAGGGGTTAAAGGGGGAGACAAGGGGTTACAAGGGGTTACAAGGGGTTACAGGGGGTTACAAGGGGTTAGAAGAGGTTACAAAAAGTTACAAGGGGTGACAGGGGGTGACAAGGGGTTACAGGGGGTTACAAAGGATTATAGAAACCTTTTTCTAACTAGAACGTTCCCAGATACTTTTTCTTGGTCTATTTTGCATAAAAATCAAAGTTGAAGAAATCTCCAATTTTTGACCAAAACGATGGACTAACCCCTTTGGAAAAATTCTAATTTTACGTTTTTCGTACACAGTTGTTTTTATAGTCTTTAAAGGCTTCTTTTTTATCTAGAACGTCAGCAAACACTTTTTCTCGATCTATTTTTGATAAACACAAAAGATGAAAAAACTTCAACTTTGTGACCAAAATCATGGACTATCCCCTTTGCAAAAATGCCAATTTTGCCTTCTTTTGAAACCCGTGTTTATATTGTCTAGAAAGGCTTGTTTTCTAACGAGAACGTCACCAAATACTTTTTCTGGGTGTATTTTGCATAAAACGAAACGTTCACAAAATTTCAAATTTTTGACCAAAACCATGGACTAACCCCTTTGCAAAAATGCCAATTTTGTAGGTTTTTGAAACCGATGTTTTTGTTGTTCAGAAAGGCTTGTTTGCTAGATAAAACGTCGAAAATCGTTTTTTCACCATTTATTTTCACGATTTATGACATGGGAATACAGGGGGTTACAAGGGGTTACAGGGGGTGACAAGGGGTTACAAGGGGTTACAGGGGGTTACAAGGGGTTACAAGGGGTTACAAAGGGTTACAAGGGGTGACAGGGGGTGACAAGGGGTTACAGGGGGTTACAAAGGATTATAGAAACCTTTTTCTAACTAGAACGTTCCCAGATACTTTTTCTTGGTCTATTTTGCATAAAAATCAAAGTTGAAGAAATCTCCAATTTTTGACCAAAACGATGGACTAACCCCTTTGGAAAAATTCTAATTTTACGTTTTTCGTACACAGTTGTTTTTATAGTCTTTAAAGGCTTCTTTTTTATCTAGAACGTCAGCAAACACTTTTTCTCGATCTATTTTTGATAAACACAAAAGATGAAAAAACTTCAACTTTGTGACCAAAATCATGGACTATCCCCTTTGCAAAAATGCCAATTTTGCCTTCTTTTGAAACCCGTGTTTATATTGTCTAGAAAGGCTTGTTTTCTAACGAGAACGTCACCAAATACTTTTTCTGGGTGTATTTTGCATAAAACGAAACGTTCACAAAATTTCAAATTTTTGACCAAAACCATGGACTAACCCCTTTGCAAAAATGCCAATTTTGTAGGTTTTTGAAACCGATGTTTTTGTTGTTCAGAAAGGCTTGTTTGCTAGATAAAACGTCGAAAATCGTTTTTTCACCATTTATTTTCACGATTTATGACATGGGAATACAGGGGGTTACAAGGGGTTACAGGGGGTGACAAGGGGTTACAAGGGGTTACAGGGGGTTACAAGGGGTTACAAGGGGTTACAAAGGGTTACAAGGGGTGACAGGGGGTGACAAGGGGTTACAGGGGGTTACAAAGGATTATAGAAACCTTTTTCTAACTAGAACGTTCCCAGATACTTTTTCTTGGTCTATTTTGCATAAAAATCAAAGTTGAAGAAATCTCCAATTTTTGACCAAAACGATGGACTAACCCCTTTGGAAAAATTCTAATTTTACGTTTTTCGTACACAGTTGTTTTTATAGTCTTTAAAGGCTTCTTTTTTATCTAGAACGTCAGCAAACACTTTTTCTCGATCTATTTTTGATAAACACAAAAGATGAAAAAACTTCAACTTTGTGACCAAAATCATGGACTATCCCCTTTGCAAAAATGCCAATTTTGCCTTCTTTTGAAACCCGTGTTTATATTGTCTAGAAAGGCTTGTTTTCTAACGAGAACGTCACCAAATACTTTTTCTGGGTGTATTTTGCATAAAACGAAACGTTCACAAAATTTCAAATTTTTGACCAAAACCATGGACTAACCCCTTTGCAAAAATGCCAATTTTGTAGGTTTTTGAAACCGATGTTTTTGTTGTTCAGAAAGGCTTGTTTGCTAGATAAAACGTCGAAAATCGTTTTTTCACCATTTATTTTCACGATTTATGACATGGGAATACAGGGGGTTACAAGGGGTTACAGGGGGTGACAAGGGGTTACAAGGGGTTACAGGGGGTTACAAGGGGTTACAAGGGGTTACAAAGGGTTACAAGGGGTGACAGGGGGTGACAAGGGGTTACAGGGGGTTACAAAGGATTATAGAAACCTTTTTCTAACTAGAACGTTCCCAGATACTTTTTCTTGGTCTATTTTGCATAAAAATCAAAGTTGAAGAAATCTCCAATTTTTGACCAAAACGATGGACTAACCCCTTTGGAAAAATTCTAATTTTACGTTTTTCGTACACAGTTGTTTTTATAGTCTTTAAAGGCTTCTTTTTTATCTAGAACGTCAGCAAACACTTTTTCTCGATCTATTTTTGATAAACACAAAAGATGAAAAAACTTCAACTTTGTGACCAAAATCATGGACTATCCCCTTTGCAAAAATGCCAATTTTGCCGGTTTTTGAAACCGATGTTTCCGATGTATTTTGCATGAAACGAAACTTAAACAAAATTTCATCTTGCTTGTGAAAAACCTTTTCTTCTGAAACAAGTTCCATTAAAATACTCCGGAAGAGAAGGAGAAAAGGAAAGAGAAGGAGGAGGGGAGGAAAGAAAGTCTAGAGTGCTGTGTCACTTTTAAGCCCAAAAACTATCTCGAAATTTTGCTTTCTGCGCATGCCCGAATTTGGGAAGCTAATATTTTGCATCTGGATTAGAAGACTGCGAAGTGTACGATCTGTAAACGGTTTGTGCGTACGTTTAAGCTCTCTATAGCCAGACAGAGATTAGTAAATTGCGCTACTAGCTTCAAAGCGCTGCGTTTTTTGGCAAAATTCCCAGGGGTATATTGCTCAGTTTTGAGTACAGTCTGTTATCTCTTTTTATGGCGGCGATTTTAGTTCTAACCGAGGTGACATGACAAAGTTGGGCTTTGCTTTGTAACAATTCTTTCTGATGAAACACTTAAGTGGGACAGCATCTCGCTAGTTTAGCCCTTAAGGAGGCTATCTCACGGTATTTGGTATCTTTTTTTTTTTAAAAAAAACAAAAGGCTAAATCTTTTTTCGCATGAATTGAACCCGAGTCAAGTTTGTAGGCATGCCAGCGATAGAGGCTGGAATAACCAAAATTTTGCCGGTCAATTCTGCTCTTCTAAGGAAAAGTACTATCCCAGGCGGTACCTGGAACCGTTTCGCAGGTAGGTCGGCGTCATACGAGAACTAGTGTTTACAGAAATGGCGCCGAAATCACCGTTGTTATGCCGGTGATCAGAAGCCCTATTCGTGTCGGGGCAAAAGTTATTCGGTTTGGTGTGAACATAGCTTAATTCACCTTGATACATAAATGCTACTAAATGCGTGAATCATAATGAATGCGGGAAAATTAAAAAACTTTACTAACCTCACTCAAATTGGCGTTGTAATTCCTTCGCTCCTTCAAGAGTACTTTAGTTGGCACGCAGTTCCTTTGACCGCTCCAAATCCAGACCTTGGACTGCTGACAACATAAGCTTTACACAACGGAACATTTCGTTGCACGGACTTTAACATAACGTGGCGGCTGATCGTTTGCAACGAGAATATGTGTAGAGGTACCCTATTTCATAAGACAGGTGAGGTCCTCTCCAGACCGCAGGCTATGCTTGTCGTAGCGGTGATCTTTCGTCACGTTAAGCACAATCTTCTCTCCGCTGTGTGCATGTTGAATTCGACCAGTGAGCGATTCCTGTTGTGGCACCAATGTCGGACGAGGGCCGAAAAATGGTTGCAAAGGAAAAGAGCTATATAGTTCCTATCTTTTCTCTGATGAAACTAAATTTACACCAAATGATACTCAACACAATTTCGAGATGTGCACTGTTGGAACTACGAGTAAAAATTTACATTTTACTTCATTACCATACGAATTGACGTAAAAAGCCCCATATGCACGGGCGTCACGGGCACGCTGTTGTTGAGAAACACAGGCGAGAATTGTGAACAAAGATTCGCCTACACCAGACTGGGCGGTTCACCAAAATGTCGGAACAGATGCAGGCAAATTTCCCTACATTTCATTTCTAGGGAACCGCTCTCAAGTTAAGAAAGAGAAATAAAAATTCGCGGTCGCTTGTTTACGTCGTCCATAAAGCGTGAAGCAGGCATTTGCACGTGGTAGTCGTGCAGTGACGACAAAGAAATGTACAATAAAGCGTGATGCACGTGCAAAATTGTTGTTTTTAGGCTTTTGTACATTATGCTTTTGCTTCCCCACTAAAATGCTCCACCTTAATGCTCCATTTTTCCCACTAAAATGCTCGGTCTCCCCAAAAAAGTCGCTAAAATGCTCGGATAATGCTCATTATACAAACGATTTTTTAAATTAATTTTAAAGTTTACGCTTACAAAAACGTGCAAGTGTTGCAAGTAACAACGACAACGTGTACAAGTTCATAACTACAGCCAAAAGAAACAGCTGTATTAGGTTTTTTGTGAATTTTGAGGTTTAGTCTTCATTTTCTTTAAAAAAGCAGAAGCTCATGGGGCATGGGCTCCTGAAAAAAGTTAATTTCTATTTTATTTTCTCGGAAAAAAATTAATTTTCCGGGGAAAATGCCACTAAAATGCGTGAATAATGCTCGATGCTTTTGCCTCACTGAAATGCTCGAAAAATGCTAGCATAATGTACAAAAGCCTAGTTGTTTTGCTTAACAAACTCATTGCCCTTTTTGCGTTCTCGTCAACAGACCAAAAGAATGCCCCTCTCTTTACCCTGCTTAACTAGTTAGGGCCTGTTTACGTGGAGGTGGGGGACTCCAGGTAGGTGAGGTAACCCGCTTAGGTGGGGTAACCTTCCTGTCCATATAATCTCCTATTCTAATTTGATCACGTTTACATGATAGGTGGGTGTGACCCGCTTAAGACGGGTAGCCCGGTCTGCCAGACCGGGTAACCTTCTCAGCCGGGGTTAAATTTTGCCATGTGAACGTTTTCAAGGTGGAGTAACCCGCTTAGCCGGGGTCGGATTCGTATAGTATATCAAATTCGCGCAAAATTCACTTTGGCGGTGGCTTTGCATCATCATTAAAGGTAGCAATAGAAAGCCACAGCACTGAAGGTTGTAGCAACAANTTAACAAACTCATTGCCCTTTTTGCGTTCTCGTCAACAGACCAAAAGAATGCCCCTCTCTTTACCCTGCTTAACTAGTTAGGGCCTGTTTACGTGGAGGTGGGGGACTCCAGGTAGGTGAGGTAACCCGCTTAGGTGGGGTAACCTTCCTGTCCATATAATCTCCTATTCTAATTTGATCACGTTTACATGATAGGTGGGTGTGACCCGCTTAAGACGGGTAGCCCGGTCTGCCAGACCGGGTAACCTTCTCAGCCGGGGTTAAATTTTGCCATGTGAACGTTTTCAAGGTGGAGTAACCCGCTTAGCCGGGGTCGGATTCGTATAGTATATCAAATTCGCGCAAAATTCACTTTGGCGGTGGCTTTGCATCATCATTAAAGGTAGCAATAGAAAGCCACAGCACTGAAGGTTGTAGCAACAACAGCAAGTGAGTGTAGAAGAGCATTAATCGCCAAAACAGGTGGTTTGCCAGCATTTTTCTTGTTTACGAGCTTAGCGACCATTAATTAATCTTGAGAAAATGCACCCCGAGATGGCGGGGTTGTAAGATTGCATGTAAAGGAGGGTTATTTTTTGTACCTCACCTGAGAGGGTTATCTCACCTACCTGGGGTCCCCCAAATCCATGTAAACAGGCCCTTACTAGAATTTTTCATGATTTTTATGTAGTTGTTTTTGGTTGCTTGTTTTTGTAACTTTACCCATTCTTTCCTGTCTCACGTGCTGTATCGGGCAGCAATTAACCATTTTCACTTTGCCCATCATGCCAGGGGGGTAGCTTTGCGTACAGCTGAAATCTAGAAAATATCTTTTTTATTTCCTGAAAGCATTTTTATTATTAAATCGCGATGATTGATAAATCTTTCGCATTATATTGGTGTCTTCACCTGTCTGAAGGGTAGACATCTCGCACTTTTCTTATAACCTCCTTGATGGTGTCACTATTTTTTTTTCCCGTAAACATTGCCTTTTCCGATAACACTAGAGATCTAAATTAAACAACTAATTAATGCGTTTTCCTTCGTATTTATTTACTGAAAATATCTTGCGGAAAACTCAGGAAATGGCCTTTCTGAGCCCTTCAATTTGAAAAATTTTCCGGGGGAGCATTCGCCCAGAACCCTCTAGCGGAAGTCCAACCTTTCTTTCCGTGCGTACACCTTGAAAACCTCGCGCTACGCCCCTGCCCAGAGGGGGGGGGGGGAACTCCCTATGACGGCCTATTGGGGAGGCTCCGCCCGAAAGGGGTATCTTTTTCAGGCTTCGGGTATATGAAACGGTAGGGATTTCACTAGTTGAAGGATATTAGAGGGTCGCTTCCCTCCCTCTCCGGAGGGAAGCGAAGAGACCGCGAACGACCTAGGACGCCTGAGAATCAGGCCAGGAAATCTGTGGCCCCTGAGGGAAAACTTGGTATAAACATTTCCTGCGTGTTACAGTCGCCCCTAGAGAAATTGAAGAGGAATATGGATGCTTGTGCAAACGTTTGGGGTAAAAAGGTGTATTTTGGGCAATATGAAAATGGTGAATACTTATAGCAGAAAAATGGGAGGAAGACCAATCTGGGCGCAGCTCAGGCTTCCTTCGACCCTTACAAGAGACCATGAGCGCTTTAATACCATATCTCGGAAACTTCAGTGAAAATTTTCCGTCAAATGGTACTGGTATTTTTTTGTCGCACCGAAACAGGAATGGGATTAAATTGTACCATTTGTGACCTTAAGATAAACCGTTTCTGCCCACGGGTACGGGAAGGTGACCATGTTTGCTACGCGGTTATATAAAAGGCGACCATTGTTTCCCGGATAACATAATGTCGTTACCGTTCTACGCGGTAGACCACCTGTTTCTTACCCGGCGTAAGAGGCAACCTACCCGTATTTACGGCTACGCGTACGGGCCATCTACCAGTACCTATACACGGAAACGGTGTATCTTAAGTACAAGGGAGTCACCTCACCCCTCCCTGGGTGAGGCACAGCTAAAGAGAGTTTTAGGCAAGACTTCTTACAATATAGGGTATATCAAAAAAAAAATGCAACAGATTCTAGCAAAAATATTTTAATTGAGTAAAAACAGCTGTCTGGGATGTACGTTTAAAATAAATGTCAGATTAACAACAAGCGAACCAGACGATAAATAAATAAATCTGAGTAACGAAATGTTTGTCTACTGGATCGCTGTATGATACAACTATTAATAATATAATTATACAAAGTTACTACACACTTTAAATTACATCATTATTTTTTTTTTCTGAAAATTGGTATTAAAAAACCTTTATTATTCAAGGAAAAGAAATTTTTAACAACTTTTCCTTTCATTTAAAAATTGTTTTAGGCTTGAGACAAATTTAATCCTAAGCGACCGATAAGAAATTTTTGCACACTGGACATGCATAAATTCTCTTTACAGCCTTTCAGGCAATTTTTTTTTCTTCACGCAATTTAAGATATCCTAAGAAGCTCGCGATATATAGAGCTCAGTAGAGCTGTTTCTTGTCCCTATACGAAGTAGTTTTTCCTTAAAAGGGACATATACTGTTTAGAGGAGGCGGAAAGAGGATCATACGATACGCTGTCCCTATCACTTAGCAGACTCGGCTTGAGATCGAGGTCGGATGTAATGGGAGCTGCGAAAAGAAATTCAGAAACATCAACGTACATTGTTAAAAACAACGCCTTATCACATCGCGTGAGAGTGTCCGTCTGCCAGTCTGTCATTCCGGTATACCAGCTCTTGGAATACCTGTTATGGTCAGTTTTGTCACGGTTTAGGTTAACACTAACATCAATCACTTGGCTTTGCGAGCGCGGTGTTGAACAAACATAACGAGCATGTGACACCCTCCTACACCGCACATTTCGACATTTGACACTTACAGGAGTAACGGTTTTTCTGCAAGTGGGCGGACGGAGGTATTCAAAAAATGCTTACAAACTATCATCTTCTCTCTTCCCGCTGTTTTCTCGCTCTCCTCATTTTTCGCTGCTCGCCAGCTTTTTCACTCGTCTGCACTGACCGACAGCCACTCGTAGGCTAGCCATATTTGACTTTGTTTTCTCAGTTTTACTAATGAGGTTGTACTTACCGCTCTCCAAATGTCTCTTTATACTTTTGTTGAGTTCATTTTCTACAGCCTTCATTAACTGCCCATCTCCCTGCCAAAAATCAATCAATCAATCAATCAATCAAATGATTATGTACTCAGGAGTATTCAGCATTCTATAGAAGCCTCTCTCAAAGTAAAACGCTATTCAAACAAGAGCTGCAAGAGCTGTAATAAGTTCTTGTTCGCGCGCAATATTTTGAAGGTCATACAAAAAAATACTGTGACATAACGCTGTAATCCTAGCGTGTGTAACTACAAACACTTTTCATTACCTTTGAGTGCATTCTATCGGGACTGACGTCAGGTGAGCCATATAGACCGCCCAGGGAGTCTGATATTAAGGGCTGCGGAGAGGGACCACGTTGAAAACCCTCAAAACTCCTCCGTGATCTTTCGAGACTACGAACACAACAATGCAAGAGTTAATCTACAGAAGCGACCTTAAAACAAATCCTCCCAAAACAACAAATTCCCCTCTTACAATACTAGAAATTCCAGGTCTACCGTCTACCCTGTTGTCGAACAAACACTAAGACGTTTTCATTAGTTTCAAAGACCCAAGTTTTGTAATTCAATTGACAACGAAGGCATCAACTTTCAATCCCTTTCCTCATTTATGAAATTAATAAGTGCATATGAAAAAACAATCATAACTTTTCCACATTGGACTTAACGCCGTCTCTTGCTTCACTTGATGTAAACAGCTACAGACCGTAGATGGACAACGCCTAATCTCTCATAAGCTCATATAGTTTCTGTTAGGTCTCCTCTCCACTCCTTTTTTCTACTTATCTTATATTATTTGTATTTTTACACGTCTGTGGCAAATAAATAAATAAATTGACTTTAAAATAATGTTGCCAAGGCAGGGTGCCTGAGTGATCCAGGCGCCAGACTTGTAACCCGGGGAGACTGGGTTCAAGTACCGCTTTAACCCGCCACTAGGTGGACCCGGGGCCCGTTTCTCGAAATTCCTGGTCCCGGTTGTTCAAGAGGTGGTTTTCGTATCCGCTGGATAGCGATTTATCCGGTGAAAAGCGTTACCCAAGTATTGAGCAACCGGGGCCTGGTGATTACCGGCCTCGTAAAGCTGTTTGGTTACAAGTTTACATTCAAGATCGAGGTGTCAAACGTTTTGGAGATAACATGATAAGACTATCAGTTACCAAACCAAAATGGACTGGTTTGTGAAATAAGTTCCACGCTTTTATCAATAAGATTTTCCTTTTTATACTACTACATGAAAAATTTCTGCAATTTGATTGGCTTAGAGCAGTGGTATTTCATCTTAATTTGAAATACCTACAGGTGAAAATTACAAACCTTTTGCGGGTAGCAGAATAAACAAATAATAGCATGATTTGTACGTGATATCTGGCATAAATACCACTCGTGATATTTTAAAATTGTTTCAAATTTCACTCGCCTAACGGCTCATGAAATTACGTATAACAATTTCGAAATATCACTCGTGGTATTTATGCCAAATATCACTACAAATCATGCTATAATACCTATACTAATATTTGGTTTCGGGTCCCCGAATTACCAGGACTTTCAATAAACGGGCAACTGAAACAACACGAGCGCTTCTACTATCAATTAAGCATGAAATATTTACATCCACTCTTCGCATAAACACACTGCACTAATTTTTCCAGGAGGGTGAAGTAAAGAACGTCTTGTAACAACTCACTTGAGCAAGTGTTGGGACTCCGCCATCTTCTCATTTGCTTTATACAAGCGGTTGGCGAGTTTGTCTTTAGATTTTAATTCACTCTGGTACAAATCCTAGAAAAACGCGAAACATACACTTCAGTTTATTCTTTATATAGAGCGGTATCAAATGACGTCACTCCAGCAATATTGGTGTTCCAAAAACCATAAAACGGCGGCTATGTTGGTGTCCCAGCAGTCCTGCGGTAGTTGAACCTTTTTTTAAGTAAAAACTTTCTTTTTCGTCAATTAATATGCATTGCCGCCGGCCACTTGAAAGAAAAAGCTTATGTACATTTTAAGGTTAAAAATCATACCGTAAAAGGCAAAATAGATTAGGGAAACAATACATAATTAAATGTGCGTGAATGGACAGCAGCATTATCAGTAAACCTTACCTTGTACCTCTTGGCTTCAGCATCAAAAGTTTCTTTTTGTGTTTGGCTCTCATGCAAACCCGCGCGCATTTTAGCAACATCAGCCTGATAAAGTAACAGTAAACGCCAACGTCAATTGAAATGCACGCAGTTTTTCAAGTGGCCAAAAAATTGATATACTCGTGCAGAGTGCCCTCATTGATAAAAGGGAAGTTTTAACCAAATCAGGTACAGTTATGAAGAGATGGGTAATTCATATACGTGAAGCCTACCGCGTTTTACAGCGATTGGTTTCAGATATGTTAATTCTCTATTCCACATTTTCTCATCGCCAATAACGTACCATGTTCACCGCGGCCCGCCCCCCCCTCCCCCCCCCACCCCTCACCCCCACACCAAAAATACGGGAAAAAATTGTAAGGGGCGACTGTATATCCAGGAGAAATTGAAACAATGTTGATGCAAAATGTTGCGGGACATAGTCCATCGTGGGCAATGTGAAAATAATGGATGCGCCACACAGATGGCCTAATTCAATTTGACGCGTCTCGGCTGTTAGCTCAGAGGAGAGGACTGCGATGGAAACTAAGAAAGCAGCAACTTTGAGCCCAAGAGATTCTTGTTTTCCCCGCAATGCGACACTTCTCAATGAAATATTAAATTTGGGGATCTACCCACCTTTAAGCCTGATATGGTGATCTCTAACTGCTTTCTTGTCTTCGATTCGTTCTCTTCCCGCATTTTGTCGAGTTTCTCTCGGGCAACGGCCTAAAGAAAATGAGAAACAAAATTAAATATCTTGAGAATTCATTACGAAATCAAATTCTCAACTGCCTTTCGTGCGATATCATTTAAACCGTCACCTAATGAATACCCTAGCAAAATTATGCGATCGTAATTTAACCGGTTCCAAAGTTTGATCAACCCGAATAAATTAAGGCACCCTCTCATATATCGTGCCAAAAGACTAACAACGACTTTGAGATATAAACACAAGTTAAGGCTCGAGTAGGAAATTGGGTAATATTCAATTTTACACTTGTAAACCGATAACTGTGTTTACTACCGATTTCAATGAAACACATCAAATCAAGTTCACAATAAATCAGTCAAGTTTACAATATATTAGATCATTCATTCAACAAAAAATGTAGTTGCAAATTCATACCTGCTCTTCTAAATGGGCGTTGACTTCTTCCAATTTACGATTCAATTGAAATCGTGACTATTAAAAACACAAAGGAAATAACACTGCAAAAATATGCTATAAAAACAACTCAAGGGCTGCAAAGAGCTATATATTTACTAGCCTAAATGATCTAGTAGCCATGCAGTCGCGTATATTTATTTGTGGGAGCCCAACCAGGGGCGTGTAATGGGTAGCAGACATTAAAAAAGAGGCGGCAAACTTCACAAAACTAATTTGCTTTCCGCAATTATAACACCGCAGTGTATATACAGCAGACTAGCCAGTCTATCAACTTATGTGTTTTAAGCGTTCAAAGATAAACATCGGTTTTTCAAACTTGAACTGCGATATCAGAATCCTGCTCATCCCCGATGTAAAACCTCACGACTGACGTGACACAGATAGAGCGATCTGTGGATCCCCCGATCTACGGATCCATCGATCTACGAATCCAGCGATCTACCGACCAAGCGATCTACAGATCCAGCGGTCTATAGATCCATCGATCTACCGATCCAGCGATCTACAGATCTAGCGCCCTATAGATCTATCGATCTACCGATCTAGCGATCTACAGATCCAGCGATCTATAGATCCATCGATCTACCGATCCAGCGATCTACAGATCCATCGATCTACCGATCCAGCGATCTACAGATCCATCGATCTACCGATCTAGCGATCAACCGATCCAGCGATTTAGAGATCCAGCGATATATAGATCCATCGATCTACCGATCTACAGATCCAGCGATCTACAAATCCAGCGATCTACCAATCCAGCGATCTACAGATCCAGCGATCTATAGATCCAGCGATCTATAGATCCAGCGATCTACAGATCCAGCAATCTACCGATCCAGCGATCTACAGATCCATCGATCTACCGATCCAGCGATCTATCGATCCAGCGATCTACAGATCCAGCGATCTAAAGATCCAGCGATCTATAGATCCAGCGATCTACAGATCCAGCGATCTATAGATCCAGCGATCTATAGATCTAACGATCTATAGATCTAACGATCTACAGATCCAGCAATCTACCGATCCAGCGATCTACAGATCCATCGATCTACCGATCCAGCGATCTATCGATCCAGCGATCTACAGATCCAGCGATCTAAAGATCTAGCGATCTATAGATCCAGCGATCTACAGATCCAGCGATCTATAGATCTAAGGATCTACAGATCCAGCAATCTACCGATCCAGCTATCTACAGATCCAGCGATCTATAGATCCAGGGATCTACCGATCTACAGATCCAGCGATCTTACGATCCAACGATCTACAGATCCAGCGATCTTACGATCCAACGATCTACAGATCCAGCGATCTATAGATCCAGCAATCTAAAGATCCAGCGATCTACCGATCGAGTGATCTACAGATCCATCGATCTACCGATCCAGCAATCTACCGATCCAGCGATCTCCAGATCCAGCGATCTATAGATCTACAGATCCAGCTCCAGCGATCTACCGATCCAGCGATCTACAAATCCAGCGATCTATAGATCCAGCGATCTATAGATCTAGCAATCTACATATCCAGCAATCTACCGATCCAGCTATCTACAGATCAAGCGATCAATAGATCCAGCGATCTATAGATCCAGCGATCTATAGATCCAGCGATCTACAGATCAAGCGATCTACAGATCCAGCGATATAACAATCCAGCGATCTATAGATCCAGCGATCTACCGATCGAACGATCTACAAATCCAGCGATCTATAGATCCAGCGATCTATAGATCTAGCAATCTACATATCCAGCAATCTACCGATCCAGCTATCTACAGATCCAGCGATCTATAGATCCAGCGATCTATAGATCCAGCGATCTACCGATCCAGCGATCTACCGATCCAGCGATCTACCGATCCAGCGATCTATAGATCCAGCGATCTATAGATCCAGCGATCTATAGATCCAGCGATCTACAGATCCAGCGATCTACAGATCCAGCGATCTATAGATCCAGCGATCTACCGATCCAGCGATCTACCGATCAAGCGATCTATAGATCCAGCGATCTATAGATCCAGCGATCTATAGATCCAGCGATCTACCGATCCAGCGATCTACCGATCCAGCGATCTACCGATCAAGCCATCTATAGATCCAGCGATCTATAGATCTAGCGATCTACAGATCCAGCAATCTACCGATCCAGCTATCTACAGATCCAGCGATCTATAGATCCAGCGATCTACCGATCTACAGATCCAGCGATCTACAGATCCAGCGATCTACAGATCCAGCGATCTACCGATCCAGCGATCTACAGATCCAGCGATCTATAGATCCAGCGATCTATAGATCCAGCGATCTACAGATCCAGCGATCTACAGATCCAGCGATCTACAGATCCAGCGATCTACCGATCCAGCGATCTACCGATCAAGCGATCTATAGATCCAGCGATCTATAGATCCAGCGATCTATAGATCCAGCGATCTACCGATCCAGCGATCTACCGATCCAGCGATCTACCGATCAAGCCATCTATAGATCCAGCGATCTATAGATCTAGCGATCTACAGATCCAGCAATCTACCGATCCAGCTATCTACAGATCCAGCGATCTATAGATCCAGCGATCTACCGATCTACAGATCCAGCGATCTACAAATCCAGCGATCTACCGATCCAGCGATCTTACGATCCAGCGATCTACAGCTCCAGCGATCTAACGATCCAACGATCTACAGATCCAGCGATCTACAGCTCCAGCAATCTACCGATCCAGCGATCAACAGATCCAGCGATCTACTGATCCAGCGATCTACAGATCCATCGATGTAACGATCCAGCGATATACAGATCAAACGATCTACCGATCCAGCGATCTACCGATCGAGCGATCTAAAGATTCAGCGATCTATAGATCCAGCGATGTACAGCTCCAGCGATCTACCGATCCAGCGATCTACAGATCCAGCGATCTACCGATCCAGCGATCTACAGATCTAGCGATCTAACGATCCAGCGATCTAGAGATCCAGAGATCTATCGATCCAGCGATCTACAGCTCCAGCGATCTACCGATCCAGCGATCTCCAGATCTACAGATCTACAGATCCAGCGATCTAACAATCCAGCGATCTATAGATCCAGCGATCTACAGATCTAGCAATCTACCGATCCAGCTATCTACAGATCAAGCGATCTGTAGATCCAGCGATCTACAGATCCAGCGATCTACCGATCCAGCGATCTACAGATCCATCGATGAACCGATCCAGCGATCTATAGATCCAGCGATCTAGAGATCCAACGATCTATAGATCTAGCGATCTACAGATCCAGCAATCTACCGATCCAGCGATCTATAGATCCAGCGATCTATAGATTTAGCGATCTACAGATCCAGCGATCTACAAATCCAGCGATCTATAGATCCAGCGATCTTACGACCCAGCGATCTATAGATCCAGCGATCTACAGCTCCAGCGATCTATCGATCCAGCGATCTAACGATCAAGCGATCTATAGATCCAGCGATCTGCAGCTGCAGCGATCTACCGATTCAGCGATCTACAGATCCAGCGATCTACCGATCCAGCGATCTACAGATTCCAGCGATTTAACGATCCAGCGATCTACAGATCCAGCGATCTACAGATCCAGCGATCTACCGATCCAGCGATCTAACGATCCAGCGATCTACAGCTCTAGCAATCTACAGCTCCAGCGATCTACCGATCCAGCGATCTACTGATCCAGCGATCTACAGATCCAGCGATCTACAGATCCAGCGATCTACAGATCTACAGATCCAGCGATCTAACAATCCAGCGATCTATAAATCCAGCGATCTACAGCTCCAGCGATCTACGGATCGAGCGATCTACAAATCCAGCGATCTATAGATCTAGCAATCTACATATCCAGCAATCTACCGATCCAGCTATGTACAGATCCAGCGATCTGCCGATCCAGCGATCTATAGATCCATCGATCTCTCGATCCAGCGATCTACAGATCAAGCGATCTACCGATCCAGCGATCTACAGATCCAGCGATCTAACGATCCAGCGATCTACAGATCCAGCTGTCTACCGATCCAGCGATCTATAGATCCAGCGATCTACAGATCCAGTGATTTACCGATCCAGCGATCTACAGATCCATCGATCTACTGATTCAGCGATCTACAGATCCATCGATCTATAGATTTATCGATCTACCGATCCAGCGATCTACAGATCCAGCGATCTACCGATCCAGCGATTTACAGATCCAGCGATCGATAGATTCATCGATCTACGGATCCAGTGATCTACAGATCCAGCGATCTACAGATCCAGCGATCTACAGATCCAGCGACTTACAGATCTAGCGGTGTACCGATCCAGCGATCTATAGATCCACCGATCTACAGATCCATCGATCTACAGATCCAGCGATCTATAGATCCATCGATCTACAGATTGAGCGATCTACAGATGCAACGATCTATAGACCCATCGATCTACCGATCTACAGATCCAGCGATCTAAAGATCTGCGATCTATAGATCCATCGATCTACAGATTGAGCGATCTACAGATGCAACGATCTATAGACCCATCGATCTACCGATCTACAGATCCAGCGATCTATAGATCCCGCGATCTACCGATCCAGGAATCTATAGATCTAGCGATCTACAGATCCAGCGATCTACCGATCCAGCGATCTACAGATCCATCGATCTACCGATCCAGCGATCTAGAGATCTAGCGATCTATAGATCCATCGATCTTTCGATCCAGCGATCTACAGATCCAGCGATCTAGCGATCTATAGATCCAGCGATCTACCGATCCAGCGATCTACCGATCCAGCGATCTACCGATCCAGCGATCTACCGATCCAGCGATCTATAGATCCATCGATCTACCGATCCAGCGATCTATAGATCCATTGATCTACCGATTCAGCGATGTACAGATCCAGCGATCTACCGATCCAGCGATCTACAGATCCATCGATCTACAGATTCAGCGATTTACAGATCCGGCGATCTACAGATCCCTAGATCTGCAGATCCACCGATTTAAAGATCCATAGATCTAAGGATGCACCGATCTATAGATCCATCGATCTATGGATCATTAGATTGACTAATCTTTTGATGGGTGGATCTGTAGATCTTTGAATCTGTAGATCGCTGGATCTTTAGATCGATGGATGGGTAGATCAGTCTGTAGATCAGTGGAACTGTAGATCTAGGGAACTGTAGACCAGTGGATCTGTAGATCTGTGGATCTATGGATCTGTAGATCGGTGGATCGGTGGATCGCTGGATCTTTAGATCGATGGATGTGGAGGTCGCTTGATGTTTAGATCTATGGACCTGCGGATCGGTGGATCTGTAGATCGATGGATCGGTAGTTCGATGGTTCGGTAAATCGATGGATCTGTAGATCTATGGTCTGAAGATCGCTGGATCTGTAGATCGAAGGGTCTGTAGACTGATGGACCTGTAGGTGAGTGGAGCTGTAGATCTATGGATCTTTAGATCTGACGATCGGTGGATCTGTAGATCGTTGGATCTTTAGATTATTGGAACAGTAGATGTAAACAGTGGTGTTATATTCGCCGAAAGCACATTAGCTTTGTGAAGTTTGTTACAGTTATGAGGATAAACGCGTCTCTTTTTAAAATGCCTCCTATCTATAACACGCATGGGGCCAGGGAGGTAATTTTTCATATGCGAGAGTATTAGACTCTCCTTCCTTGCTTAAGGTCGGTATGACGTCAGGTGTGAAATTTTTACCCCGAGGATGTGCCCGGAATCCTTACACATGACTTGACATTGAACAAGATGCAATGCGCAAACTCCTTTACACACCTTAGCCTCGAGTTCCTGTTTGTATGATTCCAACTGTCCTTTTTCAACAAAATTGTTTTCGTAAAAAGCCTGAAAGAACGAAAAAGTTTCAACATTTAAGATTCTGACTTAACTTTCTACGCTGTATTGAGTTCTCATCATGTCCCAGAATTAGACTTTAAAAGCGCCGAAAGGGTAGGGGACACCTTGAATACAACCATCCGCTACTATGAGGCGTGGTAGGTAAGGGGTGGCACTTTTGCACTCTAAAGGCATAATGTAGGGGAACAAGGGCTGAGGTTGAATCGAAACTGTAATTACAGAGGAAACTATCAAACAGTAGCGGAATCGGGTGTGGATTTTTGTTCCTGTTATCGACAATTTCTAACAGCGTCAGCCTGTCGACCGTTCTCTTACATCGGCTGCGTCGCTCGTTGCAATATGATTCCAAATAAACAGCATGCTGTTTAGAAATGGCATGGGCTCTGTACACACTTAATTACCTTCAGTCTGCCGACTTCTTCCTCCAGTTGTCTGTTAGCGTTTTGTAGGCGCTCTTGTTCAAAGAGAAGACGCTGAAATACCAAGAGAACACAATGAAAAACGGCACTGAGAGCATAAATGCGCCACAAATGTATAGCTGATTCATGGGTGTTTTGGGCATTTCTGGTCACTCAAGCAAATCATTGCATTGTTCCGTATGCCCGAATGCTCAATGCCCAGTTGCCAATTCCCAATGCCCAAAGCCACCTTTATTGAATCAACTATATGACGTAATAAATAAATATATAAATAAATAAATAAATAAATAAATGAAAGAAAGAAAGAAAGAAAGAAAGAAAGAAAGAAAGAAAGAAAGAAAGAAAGAAAGAAAGAAAGGAAGAAAGGAAGAAAGGAAGAAAGAAAGAATAATTACAAAAGACATCGTCCAATAGTCCATTTCCGAGTTGCCTCAGGCCTCTTATTCTCATGCAACTAAAACTCATTTTCACAGCAAAAGTTTCGCACTTCGCCTCGTTGTGAAAGTGAGAGTATTTGGAACTTGGAAATGGCCCATTCCTAAACCGACCAGAAGTGAAGTTCTACCAGCGTGCTTGCTGTCGTCGCGAATTTTGACTATTTCATTAAAATTTCTGTATTTAGTCAATGGACCATTTATCACTTTGAGTCTGTTCTAAAGATACTCAACTAATTTTAAAACCTTTTCACTCAAAGTGGAATTCCTCTTCCTTCTCTCATAAATGCTTGCATTTGGGAAGCCCTGATGCTTATTGGCTATTTTAGGTCAGTTTGGTGCAAGATTGGGTCGGTGTTGTCTCGAAATATCTTATGAGACTGTTTAAGAAGACGATTGGCTATTAAAAAGTCGCGAGGGAAACTGGGTAGAAATTCTTCCACCAAAACAGTCCCATAGTGCAATTCGCCACTTAAGAAACGACAAAGAAACTGGGCCGAGTTAACTGTCGCAAAGACTTCTGAGACTGTTACTGGGGGAAACTGAGAAGAAATTGGCCAATAAGGACTTAAAGATCCAACGACGCGGACAGCAACAAGACCGTCAAAAAAACAATAGGTTTTATAAGAAAAACCACAACTTTGCCCGTGCATCACACTTATTTGTACATTTCTTTCCCGTTTTTGCGCGAATACGACGTCAAAATGCGTAATTTCGCGTCTTATGGAGTACGTAAAAAAGCAACGACGAAATGTTATTTCTCCTTCTGAACTTGGATAAGGTCCCTAGGAATTCAACTTTAGGAGGGTTCGCGTACATTTGACAAAGTAAGTGGGTAGGAATAATTGCGATAAAGACTGAAAGAACGCAAATTCACTTTTTAAGCTACGTTCTCGTTGCCGTCGCTTCGTTGGATCTTAAAGTCCCTGATAGCTCAATAGCGCGTCTCCAGTAACGACCCCAGAATTCTTTGCGAAAGCTAACTCGGCCCTCGTTTTTAAAGTGGCGAACTTTCAAGTGCAATATTAAACTGGCCAATTGCAAGAGTCACTACAATTAGACATTCTTGGATTTTTCTGCTTTTTCGCTTTCATTTCCTGTTCTAATAGTCGGGAACGTTAGGCTCACATCCAATAATCGCTTACCTTTTCTTCAGCTTTCGCAGCCGACAGCTCTAAAGAAGTGGAAAAAAAGTAAAAACCGAACAATTTAACTAAAAGGGTCTCACTGAACACGTACTGAACTAATGCTCGGCGCAAAATGGCTTAACCCTGACTATTGATCAGAAAGATCAGGTTAGGGTTCGAGCCGGCAAACTTCTCTCTTCAAACCAGCGACCTAGCAACTGTCCTTATCTCGCAGCGATGATGGAAAACCGAGGCCAAGTAAAACCTACGTTTCAGAAACGATTTTATCTCGTGACCGCTTAAATGATCAACCGCGGGTTATAAGTGGCCAGTCCCCTAGTTCCCGGATTGAGCAGTACAGTTCTCTCTATACTGGAATTAAAGGGACAGGTTCACGGTTCAGCGCATGCTCATTAATCAAACTGCTATTTTTCCGCCGGGACATGCTGTATCGCCTATGAAAGCAATATGATCATGTCGTAATGTTGTCAAAGAACCAATCTGCACACTCCCCTGGCAGTCACTTGATCAACTTCTTTGGAATCAACCATGGAATAAAACCCTCGCGTCAAAAATAAATTCAACGTTGGTAGTGTTGGCATAATCCACTAATTTTTCTGCGATTTTAGTACTCCTCCATTCTACTTCACGTTACTCTGAAATACACCTCTACTTTGAAATACACTCTGAAATCGCCGAGATACATGTGAGTGGGATTATTAATCAATAGAATTAATAAAAAATTGGAAAAACGTAATTTAATTAATGAGCATGCGCTGAACCGTGAACCTGTCCCTTTAAAGAGCTGAATGGGAAGAGAGATACAGAAAAGATGAGCCACTTGTCCCTTCGTCAATTTCTTGTATTATGTTCGACTTTAAATTACCTTGTTGTTGCTGCTTGTTTGTTAGCTCCACCCGGGAGCGATTTTCCGCCTCCTGGTGAAGTCTTTCACTCAAGTTATCCAACTGGTAAACAAACGTAACACAAACATTACATCAACTTTATTTCGACTCGGATTTACAGTGTAGCTGTAAAAGCTAATATCTTCGAGAAAGAGAAAACAAAAAAGAGAGAGAGAAGGAAAGAAAGAAAGAAAGAAAGAAAGAAAGAAAAAAGAAAGGAAGAAAGAAAGAAAGAAAGAAAGAAAGAAAGAAAGAAAGAAAGAAAGAAAGAAAGAAAGAAAGAAAGAAAAAAAAAAAATAATAATAATCCTAAAAGAAAAAATATATATAGAATAAAAGAAGACAAAAAAAAAAAAAAAAAAAATACAGAACTACGAGAAAAAAAAATTAATTACCTATTACATGTATTATTATATTTTATAAAAAAAATAGGCCGAAAAATGAACTTGAAATCCCTAACGAATGTAAAATATCTATGATACTCATGGAGTGTATTCCATCTCTTTCCCCACCCGACACGCTTCCGATATTAATAAAAAACCAAAAAAAAAAAAAATATATAGAAAAAAAAAAAAAAAAAAAAAAAAAAAAGGAAATACAGAACTACGAGAAAAAGAATTTAATTACCTGTTACTTGTATTATTATATTTGCTAGAACGAATTGGCCGAACTATGAATTTGAACTCCCTAACGAATGTCGGAGATCTCAGATACTCAGGGAGTCTATTCCACATTGTTGTAGGTGCGTATCTAAATGAACGTAAACCGTGAGTTGTTGTCTTAACGCAGGGAACAATAAGTTTATTTGATCCCTGCAGATCGTGTGGCGTAGTCTTTACTTATACAATCCAGCTAGATATCTTGGCATCTGGTACTATAAAAATCGCTACAATTAATCGCAGTTAAAAGGTCCTGGTAGTCCAGAGATGTCCTTTAAGTTGCTGTTAAAAGGCAGAGGTGAGTGTTCATCGAGAATATCGTTGTATAGTGCTTCAAAAACATACATGTCATCGCCGTCATAAAAATTTTCCAAAATATGGAAAGGAACAGCACTGAGATCCGCCACAAAGTGTTTAAAGCTGCAAAAATATATATAATTTTTTCAATCGAAATCGTGATAACGTGATTCGCAGGATAGTATAACCAACGAGTGGTCACTGATGTGTCTGTCTACAACGCCAGAGCGAAGAATTTGTCTTGTGTTGTTGGTTAGGTTCAAGTGAAGTACTGTTTCTGTAGCATCAAATAAAATCCATGAGACATCGTCCATCCTTCGGTAGTTCACAGAGATTGATCATATCGCAGTTAAAGTCTCCGAGAATCAAGACATCACTCCCTCGAATTGTTAACAGTTCAAACTTTTTCAGTGGCCGGTAAACATGATATAAGCAGGGCGAGCACTAAACCAGCCTACGAGGCATGCTTTCGCGTTGTGCATGCGTGAGTGAATCGCATCGCACTCAAAACTCTCTAGTTTTCAACGCTACATATAAACTGCGGATTTGACTGTAAGGGATGAAGACTTGACTGTAACCTGTGTAACAAGCGTTTCCAATCGAGTTATTGCACGACCGTTGGAGCGTGGTCTCGTCCCAACTTTCTCGACGAACTCACGCGGAAACGCATGCTACGCAGGATAACTGGAATGTTATCAGACGAACCTGTCTTCTTAGCGAGGTGATATGTGATTCCATTGCAGCACGCTCCTTATCAAACTCGACGCGGAGGGTGGGGATCCGGCTTTCTGAAGTTTCGTATTCCTAAAAAACAATATTTCAGAAGTACAGTTACGTCAAATTCTTTTATAAGGAAAGTAAGACAAGAACAACGGAACAAGTTTCAGCTTCTTAAAGCATTTCCGACACTTGGCCTTTGTTTAAACTATACCGGATTATAGCTTTTCGTTTCGACACGAAAAGCATTTTGTATGAACACCTATCCAAAATGTGACACTTCACCTAAGTTTGAAATCGGCGCGACGCAGCTTCGCCCCGTTACCGCGAATCGCGCCGTCGAAATCACTGTTCTTATGTTTGAACAGAAGCCATATCCGGTGCTGCTTTCGACCCGGCGTAAAAGCTATCCGGTTAAGTATGAACATAGCCTTTACAATTCTGACAAAGGGCTGGCTTTTACCTTCAGTCGCCGTTTGTAAGACTTCAGCTGTGATTTGAGAGCAACAACTTCCTTTTGATGTTGAGACGTTCTGAAAATAGTAAGGAGACATCATGGTGGGAACCAAAAATCCCTAATTTTATAACAGCAAACAAAATAAAAGGGAAAAACAATGCATAGCGTTATTACCGTTAAATGCATTTGACAACCCTAAATGAAGCAATACAAATTGTACAGCTGTAAGCCAGGGTAATAATTGTCTAGTTTGTAGTTCATGTATATTTGGCTGTGATTCAACGCCTGGTAAAACCAATGCTGAGGCATATTAGTTCTACGTTATCGAGTTCAGTTGAACGTTCTTTAATGTTATTGATTCGCACTTTACAAGAACGATAAACAACGCTCCGGGCAAAATAAGCTTACCCATGCAGACACGAGCAATCCTGTTCTACTTTCTATGTTTCAAAAAAGGACGCGAAGAAAGGAAATCATGGAAACGTCTACAAAAAGCAGGTTCACACACCTTTGGTCGCTGGCTTCTAATTTGGCTTCTAACACTTTTTTCATCTCCAATGCCTTCCGAGTCTTACGTTTTTCCTGTATTCAAACATAGTAATGTAAGCGTAAAACCCTCAAGACCGGAACTTCGCCAACCGAGGATAAGCATTAACAACAATAAAAACAACAACAGGTCAAATCTCACATCCCACGATGAGGAACTAATCAACGGAGCTATGTTAATGCAAAATAAACTACTGTAAGCAGCTTACCTCCTCTATCTCTGCTTTTCCTTCCGCTAATCTTTTCCCCATTTCCGCAATCTTACGTAAGAAAAAAAGCAAATAGGAGTTGACAAACGTTCATTCTAACGACTTGGATTAAACAATTCTACGTCTGTAGGTATCTTTAGCCATGGAGGAGCTTAAGCAACGGCGGACGACGACGGTAGTGTAAACGTCGCTACAAAAATTAATTTGCTTCGTTTCAATCTTTATCGCGTGGACCCTTTCAATCTGTCAAATGTAGGCGATTTTCTCCTGGAGTTGTGTGACGTCTCTCTCCCGAACATTAGTGAGTTTACGCAACAAGACGGCAGAAGGAAGAAGACGGCAAAACTCCCGCGTGTGACAAACGTGACAGGGCTATTATTTGCGTGTTTTGTCGCAATCATCACTTAACACTATGTTTTCTGATCTTGTTACAAAACATACCTGTTTAAAGAAAGGTGAAGTTTGACGGAAAGTTTGCTCAAACAAAATGACTGTCACGCTTGTCGCACAAGGTTTACCTTCTTCTTTCCTCTCCCGTCCTGTTGCGTAAGTTCTCTATTAACGGCAGAGAGTGACGAGAGGCGGCTGTACAGTTAAGCTACAAAGGACGTCTATGTACGGAAAACACACTCAAGTCCACACAGGAACGAGTCTGAATGTTAGGCTATCTCTAGCCTGCGAGAAAATTCTCCGGGGCGGGGAAGAGCTTGCACGCAGGCTAGGCTATCTCCCACTCAAGAATTGGACGTATTTCGAAGAAAATAGAGAAAGCCAAAAGCATTCAAACAAACAATTCACAACATCAAAAAAGAAACACCGATAATGGCAAGGCGTAAAACGTTGTTATAAACGGTTTATTTTTACCTTGGCTCCTAACTTTGTCCTCGCTCGTACTTCGGCTTCCCATAATTCCTTGTGTTCTTCGGCCTCTCTTTCATGCTGGCTTCTAGTTAGTGTTTCAGACTAATGTAGAAGAGAGAAAGAATCACACACTGAGTAAATGAGTAAATGAGTTTCCATGACTTTTTCAAGATTTCCATGACCTAAGGGTTAGCTTTCATTTTCAAATGTTTTCATAATTTTTCTCGTTTTAGGGTATTTTTTTTAACCTAACTCCGCTCAACAGACACAAATTCTGGTGTCCACGAAAATCCCTTGCATTTAATTACCCCTCTCTATCTTATTTTGTCCTTGCTTCGACATCTGCAGTATGTAATCTATCAAACATAACTTTAATTTTCAATGACTTTCGAGGACTGATAATTACAATGTAATTTCCATGACTTGCCAGGCCTGGTAAAAGAAATTCTTCCAAAAAATAATAATAAGTAAAGGTAATAGCATGATTAGTAGTGATATTTGGCATGAATACCACGAGTGATATTTCAAAATTGTTACACGTAATTTCACGAGCCGTTAGGCGAGTGAAATTTGAGACATTTTTGACATATTACGAGTGTTATTTATGCCAAATATCACGTACAAATCATGCTATTATTTGTTTATACTACTACCGGCAAGAGGTTTGTAATTTTCACCTGCAGGTATTTCAAATTAAGCTGAAATACCACTGCTCTAAGCCAATCAAATTGCAGAAATTTCTCATGTAGTAGTATAACAATAATAATTCTACTAATAGGGTACCTGTAATCTGTTCTCGAGTTCTATAGAATCGCCCTTCACATTTGATAATAGTTTCTCCAAGCTCTGTCTAGCCTGTTGAGTTTAAGAGAGCATTAATTTCCCTTTAATTCATTAAATACTGAGAAATATTGAAAATATATCAATCACAAAGTTTCTCGAGTTCAAAGAAAACAAAAACGACATATTTTTAACAATCGGTTTACTGCCCCTAACCCCCCAATTAAGGACGTTTATGCTATTTTCCAAGCACGTAGCACACTGGCCCATTGCCAAGAACGTAACGTACCGTAACGTAACGTAACGTAACGTAACGTAGTATAAACTAAGGCTTTTGGCCATTAACCCACCAACATTGTTTCCTGTTTTTTTGGTTGGCGCTTCAAGCGTCGCTGGAGCTTAAGGAATTCGACATAGCGATAGCCACCAGGAAGTAAAAATCTTTTTCGATAGCGAAAACAACAACAAAAGAAACAGCCGACCGAAGAGTTGAGTGGTGTTAGAAATTAGGATGAAGTAGCAAATAAAACAAAGATAAAAACAAACATACATCACCTCGTGTTTAAATTTGGGCACCGAGTCACGCTTTCGAAAACGCACTTTTCTGCGATCATTTCCTCGACACAGGAAAAGGACCACGTTGTCATCAAATTTTTCAGGGATCTTACAGTGAGTCTCGCTTTCCTCAGGCATGACTTTATCGGTTACTCAGAATTTCAAAAAATTAAGAAAAAGGTATATATCGTTTGGCGATTCTGCCACGAAAGGATCGACCGCTCTAAATTTCGAAACACAGAGAATTGAAATGAACTATTTTCGTGTCCTAAGTTTCGAACTGCTCTAAATATATTACCATGAAACGAAAAACTGCCGGCAATCCTTAAATTAGTACTAATTAGGGAAATAATCGAAAAACAGAGGTAAATGATTGGTTTTAAATTAGCGCCGGAGCTAATTGTAATGCATAATTTATATCGAGCGACAATGATTTTAACCTCAAATGAAAACTTAAAAGATTTTCGACGTTAATATTTAAATTTTTTTCCATACAACATATCTATCAAGATTTAACTAACCCGAATGCTGGAAGTAATTACGCCTGAGCGACAAAATTTACATCAGAAAATGAAATAAAAGTTGTCCTTGTTTTTCAGAAAACTAAAGGACAAGTAAAGGATTTTAATTTTTTGCTACTTAATCCGTCACGTTGAATTTAAACAAAATGAAGATTTATCTCTTCCACAGTTATTACTTCTTTTTTTTTTCTTTTTTTTTTTCAAAGCGAGAACACTGTGGAATGGTGTTCGTAGATAACTGGTTACGGAAGTTGCGTGCATGATGAACTAATTGAATTAATCACGACAACAACTGAGTCCAGACGTTTTAAAATACTTCCCATTAAAATAGGACACGAAGCGTTGAATAAAAACGACAGGAATGGACACAACGTCATGAAAGAATTTTCAGTCGGGTGAAAATGGAAGCGTTTGTACTTTCGTAGCGAAAACATAAAATTTGTCCCTTGATAAAACTCAGACTACTTAAAACCGAAGGAAGATTATGGTATAGAGCAACGAAATCTTTCAACAGAATTTTAAAAAGATAGGAGTTGATAATTACGAGATAAGCTTCGCTAAAAAAACTTACAAATGAGCTGAGTAAAGTTATTGATCTTTGTGCAAGAAAAGCGTCTAAGAAGCTCTGTATACACAAAATGCTAATGAAAAAGTTTGGTTTGAAATGAAAAAAAAAACAAACAAAAACAAAAAAAGACAATGAGACAAAAGGACGACACAAAAACGAACACAGACAAAAAGAAGGAACGCGAAACAAAGCGTAGATATTGTTTTTGTTTATTTTTTGCTATCCATTTGAAACTTTAAATTATGGTGAAAGAAGTTTGGTACTGCCCCTCCCCATATATCCCAAGAATATCAGACAAGTGCAAACCACAAACAACAGTCCAAAGAAAGAAAAGGAAAGACAGAAAAAGAGCGAATGGAAGGAAAGAGAGAAAACTAAACAAGCATCATCGTTTGGTAACCTGAGGGTCGAGTGGAGTGCCTGTGAATCATGTCACATAAAAGAAAGCTAAAACCAATTTATAAACCAGCTAAAGAAGAGCGTTGTATTATAAAGTGGAATCTTACCTCGTTTGATTCCTTAACTTCTTTCAAAAGTAAACCAGACTTAGCCTCCTCCTCTCTCAATGATGATTCCAATTGAGCCTTGTCCACCTTTAGTCTTGTCACCATTTGTTCTAATTGGGCCTAACAAGAAGAAAGAAAAATCACAAAATATTCCTAACGCTGCTTTTACTCGTACTCCCCTACCCCCCTACCCCCAGAGACAAACATAAATATGCTAAATTCCTTTTTAAAAAATCCAAAGAAGAGAATAGCACAGTGCAAAAGCTCGGCCAAAGAGGTTTTATGTGAATGGAAACTCCACAACTTTTCGTCCACAGAACTACACATAAATATAAATGGTATCCTCCATGTGAAAGTACTGCTGAGTAGGTTTCATTTGAATGGTAACATCATAGGATTTTATCCACAGACTCAAAAGTCAGAACTGCATACTAAATAAATAGTACCATGTGAAAGTACTGCTGAAGAGGTTTCATTAGAATGGTTACACCATAGGATTTTATCCACGGACTCAAAAGTTTGAACTACATACTAAATAAATAGTACCATGTGAAAGTACTGCTGAGTAGGTTTCATTTGAATGGTAACATCATAGGATTTTATCCACAGACTCAAAAGTTAGAACTACATACTAAATAAATAGTACCATGTGAAAGTACTGCTGAGTAGGTTTCATTTGAATGGTAACATCATAGGGATTTGTCCACGGACTCAAAAGTTATAACTACATGCTAGAAAGATAGTGCCATGTGAAACTGCTGCTGAAGAGGTTTCATTTGAATGGTAACACCATAGGATTTCGTCCACAGACTCAAATGTTAGAACTACAAACTAACTTAATAGCACCTTGTCTGTGCATGGAAATCCTAAAATTCATTCCAGTCACCAGACTAAATCGCTTAAACCAACTCGTACTACGAAATGAACAGCGCTAAAGAAAAGATAGCTATTTAAACAGTTAAAGGTGATCTTTTAGAAAATTAAATAAATTAGGAACCTTGGCGCGTACCAAATTATTCAGATACATTTTCTTGTTCTCTACAGATCGACTTCCAATAAAAATATCAGTACTGCCTTCGAAAGTACGACGCGATTTTCGTGATATTGAATGTGGTAACAAATTGGCGTCTGAGTGGATGCTCTACAAAGATTCAGCTTTAAGCGATTGTAAAGGCGATTAACTATTATCGATTTAAATGGAATATATTATAGTTATGTGAATTTCAAAGGATATTACAAAAACATTTTTATCTTCCGTTAGTCATTATTAAAATAAAGACATTACCTTTTTTCAAATGTCCTGCGGAAGGGTTTACGGCAAAAACGTTAATTTCTTTTCCTTTACGTATTAAGTCAATACGACGGTTTGACGCCAAAGAATGCTACACGTTTTCAGTGCATCAAATCCCACTCTTTCCAATTTATTTGTTTTCTCGTAAAATACAATTGCGCCCGCTTAGTTTTTCGACAAAAAGAGAATTCCTTATGTAAAAATATTTACTTTTACATCGTCTTAGAACCTAATGGCAGGATTTTGTTCGCGTAAATCAAATATTCGGAAACCTTGTCCAATATTGTGGTTATTTTAACCAAGAGGGCGCCATTGGAGGCGGTTTCTAATTTGATATTTTTAAAGATAACAAGAAATATTTTAGACTACAAAACGTTCGTTTTAAATTGCAATGTTAAATACAGTTTACAATTTGGGGACCGTAGAAATTATCGTCTAAATTTGTCGAAGTTCAATTATTCTTTATCATAATGGGAATTTTATCCTGCTTAATGTAAACAGTTAGGGCTGTCAGAAAAAGAAATTGTGAGCTCCATGCGAAAAATAAATTCCCTCTCTTTTTCAAATAGACTACACTCACATGTATAAAGCTGTCACTTTTTCCACGCTATTTTCTTCCTTTCTGTAACTTGTATTTTACAAGTTCATTCTTGCGTGAGGGTCGTCAATGACTTTTTCCCCCGCAGGAAATAATTGAAGATAACTTACGAAATGCATTTTATTTTTCAGAAAAGAAAAACAGTCGGAAACTTGTATAATTGAAATGCTTTGCACTAACAGGGAACTTTGTTTACACTTAAGTAAAGCATTGTCCCTTCTGATCTGAAAAGGTAGAAATTAAAAAGTAGAAAATACTGGAGAACGCAAATAAAGTTACAAGACAAAAAAAACAAGACCCTCAACACTAATGCTTGTAAACCTTCACCTTACTCTCAAACTTTGATATATCTATTTGTTTTATAGCAAGATAATGGATTTCTTCGAAGTCACATGACATCCTACAAATCGCACAATAAAACTTTCTTGCCAAAAGTCTCTAAGCGGACAACACAGCAATGATACCCACCAATGTTGACCACTAGATGAGATTTACTTCAGCAGTTTTGTACACGAAAAAGTATCTCTTTATGGGCCTTGTAACAAATCATTCAAAGGCTTGTCCTGAGAAACAAGACAAGTTTTTCTTTTCCTCGAATCTCAGAGTTTAAATCGCCTTTGCCATGAAAAACGTTGAGATTCCCGGAAAACAACAAAAACAAAGAAAATCCACTTGATCAGATATGTGAACTGTTCAACAACAGCTTTAATTTCTTTCTCAAACACATGAACATAAATGCTTTTCATTTAAAATTAAGCATATAAAAGTGCTGCCAAACGTTTACGACACTTAACACATTTTTACTTTAGTAGAGTAGCAAAACCACGCTTTATATGGGTGAATCTGTGATAATGGTCTCAAACTTTCGTCCCAGCGTTAGGGAACAGGTTATGCATGTTTTGACGTTGTTATAGTAACCTATTTATCACGTGGATACCCCAAATTCAGACGTTATACTAGTAACCAAAAAAAGGTTTAATAGGAGTTTTATAGCTTTTTTATGCGCAAGCGTTGATGAGTAATACATTAGAAATAGATTTACCGGTTCTTTGCCGTCCTCTTGCTGGGACTGTGTGAGAAAGAGTGTGATCATTTAATCGTTATTTATTTATACATTAACATTTAGAAGTGTTATCGATGTAGTTAATCATATAAGTGAGGTTTTAAATGTATCCACATATTAATTCTTACTTATTACGGTCAAAAGAACGCTTCCTCATTTTGTTATGGATGATTAAAATAAAAAATTGAGGGGCTTTTTTCTCCGTTACACAAAATTTTCTCGTTTTAACGCAAGCTATCTGCTTCTTTTCACGTTTAAAGCCTGTGGCATCACAACCACGTTTTCTACTGCCTAAAAACAATTTGATATCAAACACAAATTGGAATCTCAACCGCAATTTATTAATCTGTGATGATTACTACCACCAAGGCAGCCCCCCCCCCCCCCCCCCCCCCCCCGCGCCCCCCCCGCCAAACACTTTGGCGTAATCCTTACTACTGTTTCAAAAACGTGTTTTTTTTTCCAAAAAACCTCCCCTTAAAATTATTTTAAAAATAATTTTTTTTTTTAATTTAATTTTGCAAACTTTGTTTTTTTTTTTCTACAGGTAATTTATTGTTTTGATTTTCTTTATTTTTTTTTTTTACATACATAAAACCCTGGCAAAAAAAAACAATTTTTTTACTTACTAAAAAACTATTTCAAATAAAAATATAATTGTAACCCCGCCTAAATTTTTTAAATTTTTGAAAATATTTCCCCCAATGGAGCCCCCCCCCCCCCCTCCGCCACCCTGTGTCCACACGAGCAATCACTGTGGCGTATACCTTACTACTGGTTCAACAACGTGTTGTTGTGTCCTAAAAGCCTTCACTTAAACGTATTTTAAAATTAATGTTTGGTTATAATTTAATACTGCGAACATTGCTATTCATTTTCCACAGGTTAATTATTGGTTAAGCTGTATTTATTTCCTTAGAGATTTAAAAGTGGGCGAAAAACCATTTAAAGTGCAGTAGAACCACTAGGAGAAGCAAACGGACAGAGGAGTGAGCACACTCTTCAGGTATCCGAATATGTATAACGATTTAAAAATATAAATTTTCTTGGGTAGGCTGTGCAGAGAAGAAATACAAAGTATACTTACCAAGGATCTGGTGACAGATTCGACGTCCGCGCTCCTAGAGACCAGGCGATCAGCGGTCTCCCCTTGGACTCGTTTGGAGTGTTCCAGTTCTTCTTCAAGTTTTAACGCATGACCCGTCACCTCCCCCTTTGTCGCTTCCACTGTTGCCACCTACAGCGAAAAGGAGAGCACAAAGCTTTACTCTACCGTAAACTACCGCTTACACATCTTCGTAAGGGGGTTTTGGTAGGGCTGAGATCCTAGGGGTCTAATAAACGTAGTATAAAAAGCGGTTCCAAACAAGCTATGGTCACGCGGATCAAAACAGGTTTTGCATTTACTGATTTTTAATTAAGCTTCACAAAGTCATAATTAATCTTATTCATTTGGAGGGGGCTTAAAATTGGATATATTTTTTTGTTCACAGTTAGATGATAATAATAATAATAATAATAATAATAATAATAATAATAATAATAATAATAATAAGACTTTATTCAAATACATATATGCTCATAAACACGATACACGATACATATTTGAAAAGGTGGACCGCGATATTATCCCTATAGAAGGTCCCCTAACTGAACTTTAAAAATATTTAAAAATTATAAAAAACGAGCATAAAAATCATTAGTGCAGGTAAAAAATGGTATAGTAAGAGTGATATTTAAAATGAAGATATATACAATTAAAATATGAGCTACTGTGTCCATATTTTTATGCCTTGATCAATAAGATGGGACTATAAACTATAACTCGGTGGAGAAGGGGGAGCGCATATACGCGGATGTTCAGCCCACAAAAAATTACGCTCAATTACTTATTTGTTAACACGGCTGGTTGAAACAACTTAAGGAAACAACTACCTGGGATGTTCAGCCGTCATCACCAAAGTGTTACTTTCCATTTTAGGAGTAGTAAAAATTATGAGGTTACATTGACCCACCGTATTTTCGAGATTGACTAATTGGTTCCTCAACCTTGACCTCTCATCCTCAAGCTCTTCGCGAAGCTAGAAAAACAAAACACATTTGTCTGTATCCGCGCGTGTAAAAATATTAGGTAGTATTTTAAGAATGTGAATTAGGCAAAAATGCTACTGCGCGCCCTACGCCAAAAACAACGACAACAACATCATCATTAGGCAAAAGATTACTAAACAAGGATATCAGCAAGCTCACAATTTTAAGAGTTCCTTGAAATGCGTCTAACTGCCCCGCGAAAATTTCATAGGGACAATTAACGAAAACGTTTTTTTTTTCCTGGCCAGACCAAAAGGTCGTAACAAGAAACTTTTTCCACTTTTCTTAGTTATGCTTCCCAACATTTTCGCCCGCAGTTGATCAATATATCAGCCAACCAGTTCTTGTCTGAAGTGAGAATATTAAACCCAGTTCGGCTATTTTTAGCTGGATATACCTTGATTTGCATTTCTAAAGATGTTTCAGACTGCACAAGTTTCTTGGATGTCTCGTTGAGTTCCTGAAAGACGAATCAAAGAAAAGAATAGAGGCACGGGTCACTTAGCAATGTTTTCACTTGGTCAAAGACATTCTTTCACCAAAATTACAGCATCAAAATGTTTTCGGCGAAGATTTCGGTGAAACCTTGATACAAGGAACCTGCGCGGAGCGTACGACTGGGTTGGGTTGAATTGCCTTATGGGCGTATTTTGGGTAGGGAATTCGGTCCCAGTTTCCCTCGCAAAGTCGTATTAAACAAGAAAAACGGGAGAGCGTAGACAGCGCCCTCAAAACGGTCCGATAGTGTTATTCGATACAACGACCCGGTCTCGAACGTATTAGCAGGCAAATAAAGAATGACACTCTTCGCCCCCCGCCCCCACTATTGTAAAATTAAATGAACACGTCCCAGATTACATAACGAACCCCATTATAAACAACGCTTTTTCGACTACTTTGGACTTACGTTACATCGCGGTTCCACCGTATCGAGCTACATAGGAGCTCAGGAGGTAGCAACACCCAACGGGTACCATGGGAGGCTATGAACTTGAACCCCACTGAGGGCAGAGGTTACTTATTTGTCACGCTCGTAGCCTCCGACGCAGCCGTTCACTGAGATGTCACTGAATTGTTGTTCGTAGAGATAAGCGTTGCGTGACAACACAACTGAGAACTGCTGGGTGGGTGACTACCAGCGTGACATGAATATACGTAACATTTTTCTTAACAAACCTGTTGTAAATCTCTGATTTGTGCTTTTTGTTGGGCGCTCTTCTCTTTTCCTTTGTCAATGTCTGACTTGAGCTTATTGATTGTATCCAAAAGAGTTTCTTGTTTTTCTGTCATAATATGTTTACTCTGCGAAGACAAAAATGTTATTCAAAAGGCAGCCCCGACCACACCCAGGCAATGAAAGTTAAAACTGTCTGTGATCTCTTCAATAGTGAGTTTACGCAACAGGTCGGCCAAACGCGTGACTGTGAAAAACGTGACGGAGCTATTACTTGCGTGTTTTGTCGGGAATTCACTTAACATTAATGTTTTTTGCTCTTCTACGAAAAGATCTGTTTGAAGGAATGTGAAGTTTGGCGAGGAGGAGAAAAGGAGGTTTAGCCTGAATCACGCCAAGCCTTTGAAGTCCCCGCACCCAAGCTTATGGACTAGTCAATCTTGTTTTTCGAGTGCGAACATCCGTTTATTGATAAACCGATGGTCAAAAACTGAACCCGCTGTACCAAGCAGACGGCTATTAGGCTCTGCTGGCAGGGTGGGTTCATTGCTGGTTTGCACGTGATGTCACGGCGGCCATGTTGATGGTCAAGAACAAAAACATTTCTCTCCTCTGGGGACTAAACTCTAACTCTTCACGTAAATTCTTCATGAAAAAATTCTATTGTATTGACCCCCAACATGGCTGCCTTGTCACGTGATTGCAACCTTCGACTTGTCAAAAAAAGACGCGATGAAGTTCCAATTTTTTCGAACCAACTATACTATCGTTATAAAATAAAAACAGGACGAGTTTCAGTATCGGTCGTACCTTTTCAAAATCTGCCCTTGACGACGCAATCATACCGTTGAACTTTTCCTGTAACGAAAACGGATACTTTTGAGTTCTCACTCATAAAAAGAAATAATCAAGTAAGTGCTGAGTGAAATAAATAAACGTGTAACTGAGAATAAGGATTGGATTGTCAGTACAGTACAAGCAAAGCTACGACTAGCAACAAAGTAATCTCAACAAAATGTGCGGCGCCGAAAAAATGACCCACCTCTGATCTTAAGGCTGCTTCTTCTTGCTTTCTTAATTTTTCGTTATTCTCCTCTAATCGCCGTCTTAAAGAGTCACAATCACTTTGAAGACTGGAAATTCTGAAAAGAAGGGGAATAACTCATTACAGGGTTCATCCCCCCATTTATAAAAAGCTATCTCATTGCTTGTATTGCGGCCGGGGGCTAAAAGAGGGGGAGAAGACCTCCTTTCCTCTGCACCATCCTCTCAACGTCTGCTGGCGCGTTCTAGCTTTCTCTTATTCCTATACCCCACAGGAGTGCCTGTCAACTAGCACTGAACTTCTGTAAAACACCGATTCTTTAAAGCGCGGCACAGTATCAGCAAGTGGACTGTACAGCCATCAACTCCGCAACTTGCACCAACTCCAAAATTTGTATTGTTGTATAATATAATACAGAATTGAATTTTGCGAATTCAACTTTCGCGCAAACTAACATTCCCGAACTTTTTTGAAATCGCGAAATTCGCAAAATTACTACTATCGAAAATAAGTACAAATACGTTAGGTTACAGAACACAATGTCAGCACTAGGTTACAAATAAAGGAGACCTTAAGATCGAGGTTTTTCGGCATTTCCCGCAAACCGCGAACCTTAAGAAGTCACGTGACCAGGGCCTTCCCGTCAGGTTTGCGGTTTGTGGTTCACTTTTGTACGGCAAGACCACGCTCTAGACGGAAGTGATTTGCCGTAAGGTTTTTTTGCATTCTAAAACATCACAATCCCACGTTTGAGAGGTGAATACTACTTATTAGGACTCTTTCGCTTATTAATTATCGAATTCTTTTTCATAGAAACGCAATTTTAAAGACGATCTCTCAACTAAATTAGAAGTGAACGAAAGAAGGAAAACAAACATGGCAGTCGCGAGCTACCATCCGCGAATCCTAAGTCCTAATTATGGGCAGACGGGTAACGTGAAACCGCTAACCGCAAACCGTGGTTTACCGTTTGCGGTTGTAAGATGAACAAATATCGATCTTAAAGTCATTTGGAACGTACATGTGACTTACTTAAGCTCACTGCCTTCTAACTTTGCAGAGAGTCTTGAATTTTGCTCCTGAAAGAAAACGTAAGTGAAATAGTACCACACGTAAGTAACGACATGACTAATCTTGCTTGGAACTTTCTTTAGCTGCTATTACGTCAGTCAATTCCAAGCGAATAAGCCATGGCCCTGTGTAACGCTCCCGTGCTTACTAAAGGGCCAACTCTATAAACACCCACTCTTTCATTTCAGTCAGTTTTCAGTCTTGTTTCTCTACCTCAGCGACGTGGCACCAGCATCTCTAGAATTTTACTCTTTATCTATTTAGAAATTTCACCGAGAAGTTGATACCTTTTCTAGTCGGATCTTGTCTTGCAGTCGATCATGTTGTGACTTCTGATGTTCTGTGTCTCTCTGCACAAGGTTCAGTTGACTTCCTCGTTCATTAAGCATAACATTCGCAGTTTGCAACTGAAACAGATCAAATGTTGTTTTTTATCACTTTCTCAGATAGAAAATTTAAATGGACAAAAACTGCAAAAGCAGTATTTGGTAAATGAAACACACACACAAAAAATGGCCGGTAAATCGGGAAGAAATTCAGGTATAAAAAAACGTACGAGTATCAACTTATGAATACGATCTGCTCCTTGGATTCCTGTTTCTCTCTCGGTCGACCTCTTGGGCTCAGAGAGTCTCATAAATTCTGGCCCCAGTTGTTCAAACGTTGGATAGCGCTATCCAACGTTTGAACAACTGGGGCCTGGACTAAATACGGTAGACTCTCTCTAAGGCGGATACCATTGAAAAGGGACAATAAGTGTCCGTGTTAGATAGATGTTTGCTTTATAGGAAGTCAAAATAAAACAACTGAGAGGGCTACAGGAAAACGACCGTAGAATGTCATGGGCCAATTCTATGTGTCATTTCTACGGCCTAACGTCTTAACAAGATCAAAGTCATTTCAATAAATTTAGAGAGGGGGTTATATCCGGGGAAGCTTACAATCGGATGTTTTTTTTGTTGTTGTTGTTTACAGGTACATGGACATATAACCGGGGGACACGGAAACCACGGGACAGGAAATGGTCGACGAATGGCAGGGGCAAATTTTCTGCGTCCGTTCTATAGAGGTGTCCGTCTCATCAAGAGCTATAGCAAATAACCGGAGGAAAATAAAATCTTACCTCGATGTCAAGACTACTTGCTTTGTTCTCCGCCGACTCCAGTTTGACCATTAACGCCTGTAAATAGCAAAACGAAGAAGTGGCAAAAGTACTAGTAAAGTAACACATTTGACTCACAGAATACAGGAAATCAACAGCCAGCGCAAGTTACTAGAATAATGATAAAGTGGCAATTCATTCAAATAAAAGCAATGTCTTTGACAAATTGACTTATGATCATCCCTATGATATTAACCTATTTTTGAAGATTCCAATCGTGAGCAACGAGAATAAAGTAGACAGTTTTGGCAAAAAGTAAGAAATGTCGTGGAAGGCAAAGTGCCAACTACTTTTGTCGCCAATCGAAGCTTGGAATACTTTTCTGTGGTTCCGATTATTTATTGTACGACCAAAGTAAAAGCTCTTGAATAGCAGCAACAATTCGCGTGTTCAGTTTTGTTTTCTTCATACATTGCAACAGGTAAGAATTTAGAGAACTCAAACCTTACCTTATTGGCCTCCTTCAATGAGGAAGTCTCTTTTTCAAGTCTCAGCTTTGATTGGTAAAGTTCATCGCGTAAATTCTGCACTTGTCTGAAACATCCAGAGGAGAAAAAAATTACATAAGTAATTAAAAGAAGCGATTTCACGTTTGTGAAATTTATTTACAGAAAAAAATCACAACTATGTGAAACAAACAACTGACAAATAGAAAAGAGATTGAAAAGCCAGGGTCCCACCACACTTACAGCAGATTTGTTCGTTTTGTCAAAATTGCGGTCATAAACTGTTTCACAAATGTGAAAGATTTGTCTCGACTTTCGGTCGAAACAAGTAATTTTTAACTAGCGCCACCGACACGTCTTGCCTGTCAGTGCGCAACTTTCCTTAGTCTTTCAGGTGGTATTTTTATCGTGGAATATTAGGGAGTCTTTAGCCTGTGAGAAAGCTTTCTGGGGCGCTCTGGGTCCTATCACTCTTCCCTTCCCCACCACTTTACCCCCGGGAGCAGTAAGAGAGCTTGCTGGCAGTCTAGGGAATCTTATGTTTCCAGCAGGATGAATTCATATAATAAGATGTAAGTCCTTTACTAACACCGTCTCTCCCCACCCCCACCCCCTTCATATGACAGAACACGCTAAATGATAAGCCGTAAAAGGAGGTATCAAATCTTCTCAAACTCATTAATAATTCAAAAAGAAAATACGAAGGAAATTTATGTTTAATGAGTGTTTGGAAATCAGAAGAAAAACTGCTCATTTTTGCATCCTTAATTTCTCCTTCAACAATGATCATGTTTGAGAAGTAATATCAAGCATTCGACTGAGTGTTTAATCACCGGATGAAACACCGCGAAGTTCATTTAAAATACTCCAGTGCACGTCTAATTTTCAACTCTCTTCTCGGTGGTTCATCCTTGATATACTACAAAAAGTGTATCGCAGAACCTCAGAGGGGGAGGGGGCCCATAAAAAGTCAGGGATGGGAGGGCAGGAGAGAATTAGAGTAAATTATGTAACTGGGAAGGGCAGGTTTCGGAATTATATCTCACCTTTCAGCTTCCACTCTTCCCACACTGGCTCGTTCAAGTTCTTTATCAGATTTCTCCAGTCGCGATCTTAATGACGAAATCTAATAAGAAGAGAAAATATCACTAATCAAGCCTTTCACCAACAGGAAAATTTAAGAGTATGGAAGACCTTTCAAACAGTTTTACAACGACTGGATCAAAAACGCGTTTTCCGCAACACTTATGTACACATACGTGAATTTATGAAAATATATGGCTTACTTCAGACTCTAGCCGAGCCCGCGTCTGCGTCTCACTTTCTAGCTTGCTGCTAATCTGCGCATGCTCGTTTCTTCCGCTTGCCACATGTGAATCGAATTCAGCGCGAGTTTGTTGAAGTGCTTCCTCACTTTTGGCCTGAAATAATAAAATTGTCTTTTTAAGCATCCACGATTAACAGTTTTGTACTTAAAAGAAAAAGAAAAAGAATCTTACCACTTTGTCAGCTTTCTTTTGCAGTTTCTCCTTAAGAAGCGCAATTTCCTTCCCCATTGATGCCTTCGTTGCCTCCAGCCGAGCTTTGGTATCGGCTAGCTCAATCTAACAACGTCAAAAAAAAAAAGAAACAATAACGCTCATTGAATCCATCTATACCCACAAGCAGCTGTTACAGCCTACTCTGAGGCTAAGATAGATAACATCCTTATAGCAGCGTTAAATTGATGCACAAAGGTGTAGTTTTGATCCTGAGGATGAAATGTTTAAGTGCAGTTCTTTCCTGTGATACTGTTCATTATTATGTACACAGTCACAGTAATTCAAAATTCGTAGCCGAAAAAAACCCTAAAGAATGACCATTCATAATCAGTATGCTGCAAACGAATCCACATATAACTTCTTCTTAAACCAACTCCACCTATTTTAACAACACTTACTTGTGCTGCTTTAAGTTCTTCTCGCAATGAGCCGCTGCTGACTTCATAACTCTTCCTCGTTTGATCCACTGCTTCCAGTTGGCTTAGCGCCTCAGCTTTCTGCAGTGAGTGGTTACGCGACTCCTCAATTAATACTTCACTCTTTTTACGTTCATCTTCAAGTAGCTGGTTTTGCATGGCGCGCGCGTCCTGTTCCTCGGCTAATGCTCTCTTCAGATCTCGCACATCCGATTCGAGCTGGTGTAGGTTGTTTCGCAGTGACTTATTTTCGATTTGTTGTTGGCGTTTTTCGACCTCCAAGTTTTGACGATTTTCCAGCTCCCTACAAACATAGGATACGAATTTACACGTATAAAATTGTTGCACTTTGGTTGAGAAGATTAATTAGAAATAACGCGAAAAATTAACCCTTAAACTCCAAACAGTGAAAGAAAAAAGTCATATAAAAAATTCAAAACCGAAGAAATAAATAGTACAATGCAAAACTTCAGCCAAAGAAGTTTCATTTGAATGGCATTACCCAAGGATTTCCCCCAAATATACGTATTCGAGTAGTGAAGGGTTTGAAGATCTTAGGAAAAAATCATTTGTCAAATTTTAAGCCAATTTTCATTTGCACCGTTCTTTGTCTAGCTTTGAATTCATTTCATTGTTTTTTGGTTTGTCAAAGCGAGAACTGCTAGAAAAAAAGTTACGACGTATCTTCTCGGTTTCTTGGTGTTACAGCTGGCGAAATTACCAAGAATAAATTAAAGGCCTCAGTTGTTCGAAAGATGGATAACGCTACCCACTGGAGAAATCTCTATCTAATGGATAACGTTGAACATTCGGGTCCAGAAGATTACCAGTTACAAAACACATCCAACAATACCCACATCACATCATGATAGCGAGCCAACAAAAGTTTCCCAACATCAACAAACACACATTAAATTTGTGCAAACCTACTTAGCGAGTTTATCCTCTGCTCTTGTGATTTGCTCTTTAAGCTGGTTATGAAGGGCTTCTGATACCCGCCGTGCTTCGCTTTCTTGATCGTATTTATACTGCAGCGTCCTGTAAGCGGCTTCTACCTCCATCTTCAATCGCTCGGATTCAGATTTCTCTTTGGTTAGAGATTCCACTCTCCTAATGAAACAGTGAAAAGTAAGAGCAAACCCCAGCCAACAACATAGCGATTATTGTAAGGGGGGGGGGGAAGGAAGGGGAGAAGGAGTGGCAGGAACCAAGTTAAAACAAGTCGGCAGAGAAGAGGAACGGTTTGGGAAGGATGGGGAAGCTGGCTTATATGCGATTCACACTAACAAAAAGAGTACCCTCTGTAATAAAATCATCATCACATGATAGTGTTAGTTATGGAAATTAAAGCCAAGAGGTTTTCTCGAAAATGGAGGTCCGAAACCATGGAAAAATGGCAAGGGGTCCGGTTCTCGAAAGCCCCGATAATTATCGGGCCCGGAAAGCTGTTGTTGTTTGAATTCAAGACCGAGGTTTCACACGTTTTGCAGATCACACGATAAAAACCATCTGTCATAAAAACAAAATGGTCTGGTTTGTTCGCCAGGACCGGCGTTTTCATCCGATTAGATTTGGAATTGTTTTCGGGCTCGAAAAGTTACCGAGACTTTCAAGAAACGAGCCCCTGAACCCCGCCCCCCCGAACACAATCAGACGAAAGGAAAAAAACTATGAAAAAGGAGGAAGCGTTCTGTTTTTCACTTCATCTCGCTTCAATCATCTGAAAACCTGTAGCAAGCGTCTCGATACCGCGGCAAAACCAAGTGTAAGCACAGGAAATTTGGACAAATTTAAATCACAATCTTACTCTTGCACTTCAGCTAAGTCGCTCTCCATCTGTTTTCTGCTCGTCTCCAGCGCTACAATTCTTTCTCGTTGTTTATCGACTTGTCGTTTGGAATCGCGAAGAGCTTCTTGAAGACGCGCAAAACTTTGACTGTCTGTAATTTGAATAAGAATAAGAACTTTTAATAAAAAGACAAGTTTCCAAGTTTCCTAAGGCAAACTTTTTTAAATAAAAGGTTTGAATTGAAATGGCGGGAGGGAAAAAAACCAAAACAAACAAGCGGCCTTAAACAAGGGAAATCATGATCAGTGCTTCTGCGTATGCATTTCACATTTAGTACATTTTTCTCCTGTGGTCACCAATAAAAAAGTATTGAGGCGTCGTAAACTGGTCAAGCTTGAGGCTTCGTGGAAAAAGAAAGCTCTCGAATGCAGCCTTTTTTATTTCTGGTTAAAATGGCAAATCGTAAAGCCAAATCGCAACGACCGTAGAAAGTGTAAAAGACGCCCGAATTGTTTTTTCCAAGTCACGCTTACCTTGGCGCTACTGTCTTAGTGGCTTAGGCATCTTATTTTTACGCCTGAGCCCTTGAAAAGCTATCATTATTGTCCGGTTAAATTTTCAGAACGCAACCGTGAAACTTTCCGTTAGGCATTGTGAAGAAAAAGTTGTCATTATGACGCAAGACACTATACGCGCTTAAGTGGATTTGCGCGCGCGCGTAGAAGTTGTTGCCACGGTCTACTACAATACTCTACAAGTTGTCCTCAAAGAAAAACGAAAAACAAAAATATATAAAAAACAAGCAAAGGGAGTTCACAGGTTGAAATTTGAGGAGTAACTAATTAATGAATTTCTTAAGACTTTTATTGCAAATTACAAAATTTGAATTTGTTTGTTTGTTTTTTTGTTAAATGAAGTTAATGAATAGCAGTTTTTCATAGTCTTGTTGCACTTTGTTTTACTCTAGGTAAAACCAAATTTCTAGTACAGTAGGAACCTCGTGACCCTTAGAGGTTCCTGGGTGGAGTAACGTTACAGAGCATCACAATGCCCTTTTCATTCTTTCGGTTTAATTAGCATGACCTTTCTTACCTTGAACCCCCAACGAGCCATTCAGTGAAGTACCCAGGGCACCACCGGTCGTATTCATCGGGGTAGATCCTCTGATCAACGGGGACTGGGACCGGGGAGGCGAAAATCCTGTTGGAGGTTTGGTGTTGGTACCGCTCATCGTCATGGCAACTAAGGGAGAGTAGCGGCCTTGGTGACCCTCATCGGAAGATTCGGACCAGTCCCCCTCATCAGCGTGTCCATTCATAACCGCCTGTTAAAAAAGACGCGAGAACAATTTCCAAACAATATATAAGTGGTCCCGGTTGTTCAAACGTTGGATAGCGCTATCCACCGGACAAATCACTATCAAGCCGATAAGTATTATGGAAATCAACTGCGTAATCTATTCAAGAGACATTTATTCAGTGAATAGCGTTATCCACCGTTTGAACAACTGGGGTCTAATCTATTCGCGAAAAACATATAAACGTCATCCTTAAAGCAACAATCACAGTGTTACTAGGTGTCGGCGTTGGTGCACTTGCATCTTGGACAAAAACTAAATTTTCGTATGGTGCAAGGAATGATGTTTTTTCCCATGGGATTCAAAACAACATCCCGTGCGACGTAAACAACAAGGAAACAAAAATCACTACAAAAACTTGCGAGCATGTCCCTTGAAACTGTCACGTGGGCAAGCAAACGGACGTTAATCAGTACTACCCCCTCTCCATATGTCCCTTACGACCTGTTTCCCCTCTTAATCCCACCCCCCCCCCCCCATTCCCTTCCTGCCAGTGCAATTTGCCTACTAGACTGTTAGCAGTTTATGACGAACAAACCAAGCAAACCCGGAACAACTCACCTGCTCTCCATCACGTTTATCTGCGTCTTTCATACTCTTATCGGCGCTAGGATTGGGGCTGAAATTTTAAACATAAATATATTAAGCTTTGCTTAAAACTCTTTACTTAAGCCTTTTATTATTACTAGTATACTGTTATTTATTGTTACTACTATATTGTTATCATCATTATAATGATGATGGTGGACTGGTGGTGGTGGTGATGATGATGATGATGTTTCAAATGCAGGGATCTCTTAAACACCCAGCAAAATTAAGCCCGAGGCGGAACCTTGGTTAAAAAGTCGCAGAATAAAGCGTGGAGGAGCTGGGAACAAGTAGCGCTGTATTTATATATCTTTTCCATAAAAAAGTTCAGCATGTCACGATCATGGAGCGAAGAAAACGTTCAGAGTTCCTGATTTTTACTTTTAGAGTTCATGATGGGTATCAAGGAAAACGTAATCCCGTACACTAATTCTGGCAATATTTTTGCGCCGTTAAAAGTGTAATTCCTGAAGGAGAGGCAGTTACTTGGGATAAAAACACGAGATACTGCAAGACAACACAAAGAGTATCATGAAAGTTGTCAGTCGTTTCGCTACAAAGTCGATCAAATTATTGACAGACCGATTCAGACTGAAGCTGCCGAAAATTTGGGAAAGCACAATTTTGATTTTCCCTTGCTGTTGCTAGGAACAACCTTGATAATTTGTAGTATATGATAATACTCCAGCCCAATTAAAGTTTCATAAGGAATGTAGTACATAAGAGCTAGATCATTTCATCAAAACTACTTAGAGAGTGAAAAGTTTTCACAATTTCCAGTAAGTTGCAATGTAGCGAAATGACCGTGACTTTGTAGCGAACTGACCGGATATATTGCAGGGGTCCTACCTGCCCTTTTCACCGCGTTCAAGGTCGCTTCCCATGCTAACGACACTAAGTCGTTTATCTGGGGTAAGCATAGATACTTGAGGTGGCTGGTTCAGTTCCGTGGTCCTCTGTCGCGCTGCTTCAAACGTGGCACTTAGTTGGTCACGTTCCTCGAGGAGTTGGCGTGATTTTTGTTCGAGTTCAGCCCGGCGGTGCCTGCGTAACAAGCAGGGAAAAATAAAGGATAAATCGAAGTCTCAGTCACAAGCAAGGAAACCGTAGTTACATAGTTGGGAGTTTCTGACAGATCATCATCATTTCACCGGATGTAAGCCACCAAGACAAGAGGAAGAAGCTTAAATTTTAACCGAAGACTCAAGGTCGTTTCCCCGACAGCTAGGAATTACACACCATATGAGGTTTAGAGTTAAGATGGTTCTTTCACACTGTAGCAAGGCAACATGTCTTAGCAGAAGGATTAGAAATTATAAGCAAACAAGCCAACGTGCAGTTATGTGAGGACTAACGGTAACATAGCGCGCGCATATTCTATCGCGCGTTATCTTGATTGTTACGTAACAAACAACAGGCTTAGGATGGTCCTTGAAGAAAACCGCGGGCTCAGCGTCACTGAATTCCTTTCAAATAGCGGTTGCGCGAGCATTAGAGTAAGCCAAGAACAATGCAAAGAAAGAGCAGGGATCTGTGCCCAACGTTCAAAAGAGCCAATTCTCGCTAAAGCTTTGGAGGATTAATTCTTCGACTGTTTCCTTCATGCATACAAACAACACTGAGAAACTCTCCCTCACACAACAAATTATTTTCCTTTGCCCAAAGCTCGTGACATCTTGAACATTTCACATTTAGTTGTTGCGACAGCTTCACAAAAGGACAAAAAGGGAACGGTTTTGACTGTATATAGTATTTGTTTACTTAGTTTGTTGTTGTTGTTTTTTTTTCTTTGCTACTATTCTGCCTATCACCACTGTGTTAAAAAGATAATTTTATAGCTAGGGGCTCGCACGAAAACGTTTGTCAATTTAGCTCCCAGACATCCTTTAATCATAATGTATCTTTTTCTTCTTTCCATTAGCCATCAAGAAATTTAACATTCTCTAGTTGGATGTATAAAGGTTGTTGTTGTTGTTGAAGTGAAAGAAGCTTCTTTTTCAAAAGCTATTTTTACTCCCTAAAAAAGCTTCTTACAATGGCTTCGTATAGGCTGATACGGAAACGAAAAGGGAAGTTGCGTTGGAAGTTAAAAAAAGGGAGAAGCCAAAACTATTTCTTTTGTAAAAGTATTATGTTACCTGTTGTTAAGCTCGGCCAGTTTAGCGCTGGTCTCTTGATCCAGGCGATTTCGCTGGGTTTCAAGCTCTTTCAGCTGTTGCTGTCCCAGTTCTGTAAAAGATGGTCGTGATGAAATTGGCGGTTAAATTTCTTACTACTGAGATACAGCGATTTTCAACTGAGTATCGAAAGTATCTTCGCTTACCTTAGAACATATCAAACTTATCGGGGAACAACATAGCCTCCAGACCCTCCCCTCCCTCGTTTTCCCTTTTACACAATTACACTAATCTTAGATCTAACTGACCAACAAAATGAAATGACATTTAGCAAAAATCGAAAATTGGTATACATGAAAGGGGTTATAAACGAACAAAAAAAATAGAAAAAATTTCCGCGTTGAAAAATGCCCTGAGCGAACGGTAGAAGCGTTAACTACGTTGGGAAGCACTATGGCAAACAAGAAGCAATTAATAGACACCAACCCTCTTTGTTTTTCGAAGGATTATATGAAAACTCTTCGAATATATCAGCGAAAAAGACTTCACACCTCAGTGATTTGAATTATTTAAACACAAGTTCGAGTTTGGGACATCCACATTCTCAATAGAATAGTTTTACATAGACTCGTGCGGTTAGCCTGAAAGTTATAGAGTTGTTTTATAAGACAAACTGATCAAAAAAGGTGTTCAGTATTACTTTTAATCTGACTAGAGTGTTGTAAGCTATAGTCTGACAGATATGTTCAAAGCACGAAGACGATATTTTGGTTAAAATTAGCGAAAGGAAAGCTACGTGAAAGTAGAATTAAACTGAATATTAACGGTTTTTGGCTTACCTTGACTAAGGAGGATTTGAAAAATCGATAAAACTGTACACTGCGTGGGGCAAATTTTGTTTAGTCTGGCTAACCGTGAAATATGAAAGGTTGCTCGTTACATGATAACATTAGCTTCGAAATAGCCGTCCAAGAAAGAATCGCTCGTGAACATGTAGTTTGCGGTTAATTCCAACACTTGAATACTTGACAGAAATACAATTCAAGTTGTCCCCAATTTCATCATACTTAAAATGCTTGCAAAATTTAGTTTCATCGACTAATGTCGTTTGAAGTGGTGTTAAAAAGCTGTTCATCCGTGAAATTCGTAAACAGAGTTATAGATATGTAAATTTGTTCAAATAAACGCGTCGTTAAAGGAGGGAAGCTAGCCAAGCCTCATGTCTCGTTCAAACAATACTTAAACAGCTGACAGGTTCGGATTAACTCATCTATTTGGATTCTAAAAAATATATTGAGCAATTTGAAACTATGCACCATATTGTACAAATGGGCATTTTTTGAAAAAGTACAGACGTTGAAAACCAGAATTCACATCGTCTCGGATTTTCGCATTTTAGCCAACGTTCAGAGAATGAAAAAAGTCATTTAAGCCAGTTATTCAGCCAGTCAGTCAGTCAGTCAGTCAGACAATCAGTCAGCCTGTCATTCAGCCAGTCAGTCGACCACTCGGTCTGTTTCTAAGCGAGCAAACGAGCCATCCTGTGAGCCAATCAGCGGCGAACTAAGCAACTCAGTCAGCCAATCACAAACTTTAACCAACCCACCTTTCTTATTTGTAACAGCTTGTTCCTCTGCCTCCAGTCTCTGTAATTTCTTTTCCGCCTCCTTTAGTTCCTCACCATGCCGTCGATGCCGCAGTGCTCCCTCGATTCTCATCAGATCTTCTTCTTTCTGAATCTGTCGCAGTTTTGAGGCAGCCTCCTCAGCTTTTTGCTCTTCCTCTTTTCTCTTTCTTACAGCTTCTTCTAACGCCACCTTTTCCTTCTCCACATTCATCTCATACATCTTCTTCCATTCCTCAAGTTCAGCCTGACATTTACGTAAATGGTGTTAGCTGGTCTTTTATGAGTTTTTTACCGGCCAATATTGCTTAGTAAAGGGCCGGAGAGAAGCCTTTGAAGGATTGACATTGAAAAACAAACAAACAAAATAGCTTTTTTAACACTTATGCCCAGAAATGCAACTGAGAAAACTCGCAACTCAGATACTTCATATTAGACCCAATTATTTCTAATTTCCATGCGTGATGTCCGTCATAAAGAAGCAAGAATCTCAACAACTTGCAATACCGGATATACCTGCTTGTTTCTAGAGAGTGAAACTCGACTGTTTGAAAAACTGATAATCCTGTGGAAACTGCGGGGTATTCGCATTCCACCCGTTATTATGCTGATAAAATCAGACGCAAGTATCCGTGTTACTGACCTGTTCCTGGGAGTACTCCACATTTCCCGCAGGCTGTGAGGAATATGACTGGTCTTTCTGCACGACTGTCACAACCTCTTGAACAGGAATTCTCTCCAACTCCGACAGCCTTGCTTTCTCTTCGAGTTCCCGTTCGCGCTTGGCCATTTCCTCTTCAAAGCGTCGCTCCTTTTCTAACAGCTCCTCCTGTTTCTGCCGATACGCCTGAAGTAGCTGTTCGGCCTCTTCATCAGCAGTTCTCTGCTTCAGAAGGCGATCTTCTTCTTCCCTGGCTCGCTGCTCCTCCATGGCGATTCGTTCGCGCTCCAATCTTTCTTCATACTCTCGCTTCTGTCTCTCCATTTCCTCTTCCTTCATCCTCATCTGCCGTTCAAGCTCCCTCTCTTTCTCACGCTCCAAAGTTCGCATCTCTTCCTCCTGTAACTCTTTAAGCTGCTGTAATTCTTCTTCTCTCTTTCGACGCTCCTCTTCTTGTTTGCGTTCAAGGAACAGTTTCTCTTCTTCTTTCTTCCGCAACTGACGTTCTAACTCTTCCTCTTTCTCTCGCTCTTCCCTCTCCTTCTCACGTGTTCTTCTCTCCTCCTCATCTCGTCTCTTCCTTTCCGCCTCTTGTCGTTCCTTTTCACGTCTCTCTTCTTCCCTTCTCCTTTGCTCATTTTCCTCATCTTGTTTCCGTTTCATTTCAGCTTCTTCCTCTTCTTTTCTTCTTCTTTCCTCTTCCTCTCTCTCTTTCCTTTCCATTTCCATCTCTAATTCCATCTCTGCTTGCAGTTCTCTCGCTAGTGCATCATCTTTTTCTTTCTGTTCCTTTTCCCATTGTAATACTCTCTGCCTTTCTTTTTCCTTGTTTTCAAAACAACAAATAATGATTTAGAGATGGATAATTTCGTACCTATTATCTTAGCCTACGTAGCCAGCATTTCCCAGCGCCTTCGTCGAGAAAGTTAGAACGAAAGCAAATCAAACTTTCGCCTAAAAACTCAATTGGTAACGCTTGCTACGCAGGCTACTTTTACCCAACCATGCTAAAGAAACGAAAAGATTGTTTAAAAAAATACCTTTTCTTGTTCTTCTTCTTTTTGCGCCTTTTTGAACGCCCTTTCTTTCTCCCACTCACTCTCTGATTCAGTGGCTTCGGAATCGCTCTCGTTAGCGTTCGTCTTTCTCGGCGAGGCTGCAGACGGTTTCGTAGCCTTAGCGTTCCCTGCTGAATTTTTAGGCAGCGGGCTTAAGGTGCCAAACAAGCTACTACCGCGGGTAGAATCGGGGCCATCAGATGGAAGAATATCCTGGATAAGAGAAAACGCGAAGATTAAGCTTATGCAAGGGCGTTATTGAGGGAGGAAGTGAGGCCTGTTTCCTATACGCCACTTGCACATCTCTCATAATGCACGTTATTTGCCCCACCCTACCCCCCCCAAACAAAAAACAAAAAAAAAAAACAAATACTCATATTTTTTCTCCAACTCTATATACAAAAAAAAAACATAGTAAACAAATAAAAAAAAATCAAATAAATACATTTTATTGAGTTGTAAATATGTGGAAAACAATAGAACAACGATCGTCTCACCACCCTTTAAAAGAAAAAAGAAAAACATCCTGCGACCACACACACAACCACTACCTCATAAATACCACCCAAACCACCAATTTGCCCCCCCACTCTAAATCTACCCAGCCAACCTACCACCAAATCCCTATTAATCCTCCCCACCCCCCCCCCAAAAAAAAAAAAAAATTGCATAACCTTTGTTTTTCATTTCTCCAGGGTATAGAGTACTAAAGTGATGACGTCATAAAAATGAAATTTCTGAAATTATGGGATTTGTCAGGATATTCTGAAAGAACAATGTCCAAAAGGCCTTCTTGCTAAAAATGAGCATTTCGCAGCAAATTGTCTCTGAGATCGTAGCCCAGTTATACTCAGAAAACTCCATACAAACCCTTCTAATTTTTTTTTGGGTCGACCCCAAAAAAATGTAGAAGGGTTTGTATGGAGTTTTGTAAGCATAACTGGGCTACGATCTCAGAGACAATTTGCCCGCAAATGCTCATTTTTGGCAAGTAGGCCTCTTGGACATTGTTCTTTCAGAATATCCTGACAAATCCCATAATTTCAGAAATTTCATTTTTATGTCGTCACACTTTAGTACTCTATTACAGCCGTCCCAAGAGAAACTGAAAATGCATTACCGGAGATGTGCAAGTGGCGTATAATATGCCTTGACAGAACCAAATTTGTATTATTAAGTGTCTTTATTTTCATACAGACGATTTGTCCGTAAATTTGGGCAAAACCATTGCCCAAGAATGCAAAAAGTCCACTTCCGGTTGATATGCGTCTCTCAAAAACGTCTTCGCTTACGCTCTATCCTTATGGTAATGCGCAACCGGAAGTGTATCCTTTTTCCTTTTAACTTGCCTTGACACTACAAAATTTGTACTGTTAAGTGTCTTTACTCTCATAAAGGCGATTTGGCCAAACATTTGGGCAAAACCACTTCCCAAGAATGCAAAAACGTACGGTACGGTGTTGAATTGAGTAGTTCGCTTCAAAATTCAGTTAGTCGATCAGTCAGTTGATCACTCACTTGCTCACCTACTAAATCAATCAATCAATCAATCAACCCGTCGGCCAGTCAGTCAGTCAAACAATCAAACCACCAATCAATCAAAAAAGGTAACTTACCGCATCTGAGCTGTCCCAAGCAGACTCTTCTACAAAGAGAGCGAAAGACAAAGTATAAATTAATGAATAACTTCACAAGTACGGGGGAATACTACAGAAATAAAAAGCTAATTTCATCCACCTTTTCTTTTCTCCATTGTTCTGGTGGACGGACCAGCTTCAGGTTTTTGGGTAGATGTGGGTAGGTCTTTTTAACTACACTTTTTGAATTTATCGTTGAATAAGTTAAAAAAGCCAGCTACTGCTCGAAGGTAGTCTCCGATTAAGTGGTACAACTTTTTCCCCAAGGTGGGGTTCAGTATTGTTTTAAGTTCGGGGCGATTGGCGAAGGAGTTCTATGTGAGTAAATGAAGGAGTTTAGAGCCGAGCGTGGGTGAAGTAACAACCGAGCTCGCAAAGGACGACCGGGGAATAGGCTGACGTAAGAAGACACCTTACCTTCACTCTGGCTTTCGTCACCAGGCTTAGCAGGTTCTGCCGCATGAGCGTCTTTCCGCTGATCATCTTTCTTCGCAGGCTCTTTATCTGACATTCCGCTGATGTCAGGGTCGGAAACAGAACTCACAGAGCTGCCGAGATCGATATCTAGCTTAGGGGGAACTAAAAAACAAGCCATAAAGACGATTATATTAAAACACGTTGGGTTTATTCTGTTTAACCTTCTCAAAACAAAATTCGGCTCTTCGGGCCTCAGTTTGGTCTTAAAATAAGGGGGACCCTCCGCCCCCGGGCCCCTTCCCTGGTTACGCCACTGGTGAATGCACAACGTATGTTGATCAGCACTGTCGTAGCTTGTTTCCAAACACTTTTTTTTTTTTTTGGGGGGGGGGGGGAATTATGGCCCCCCCCGGTTATAACCCCCCCCTTTTTGTGCCTCCCCTAACCCCCCTCCCGAAAAAAAAAAACCCCCGGGACGACCGGAAGGGGGCCGTGGGGGGAAATGGGTGGGGTCCGGTGGGTGCCCGGTGCAATAAAAAAATAAACCCCATAACAAATTCCTGCCTGTTGGTGTCTCTTTTGGGTTTAAAAATAGGGGGCCCCCCCCCCCCCGGGCCCCCTCCCCTGGTTCGCCCCGGGGGAAAGCACCAGGGTTGTTTGTCCGGCCGGGTGTTGCTTTTTTCCCAACCGTTTTTTTTTTTTTTGGGGGGGGGGGGGGAATTATAGGCACCCCCGGTTATAAGCCCCTCCGTTTATAGGCTCTCCTAACACCCCTTACGAAGATATATAAGCCCAGGGCTTATAGCCGGTAGTTTACAGCACCCCTTTTCCTACGATATAGATGGACAAAAAATTCTTTATCCGCTGCTGCCCTCTAACCCCCCCCCCGCCCCCGTCTGCCCCAAAGAAAAGCCATTTCACCAACCTGTTTCTTTCTTTTCGGCCGGTTTCCTATCCTCGCCTTGTGCCTGTTGTTTTTGAGTGGAGGTCAGTGGTTGTGGTGAAGGAGTAAACCCTGAGCTTGGTCTGGTCAGCGGTTCATCGTCCTCATCATCAAGCGGAGCATCACTAAAGGACAAGTCCTCGTCATCATTCCCCTCCCCGCCACTTGATAAGCTAAAGTCGAGATTCTCTGTTGTTGACAAGAAATGACAATCTGTAAGTTCGTCCTTCAATAAGTCAATCAACAAATCAATTGAATACGGCAATTTGCCAAGCAAGTCGAGTTGGTCAAAGTCATGGATAAATCTCTTTATTTCTCTGGAGGCCAATTCCGAGATCCCAAAACTCTCACTTTCAAAGGGACGTTACGTGCAAAACCTTTCTTGTGAAAATGAGCTTCATTCTCATTTCACATGAGAATAAAAAAAACATTTTCATATCAATGGTTTCACACTTTGCCTTGCCTTGAAACAGAGGCTTGGCGCAACTCGGAAATGGCCTATTAACGTCTTGCATTGTTAACTCAACCCCGTTCCCAGGGTGTTCTCTCCCTCTCATCCTAAGTCGTCCGTCCTCTTTCGCTCCGGGGGACTGCGAACGAGGTAGTTTTTCAACTACAAGTGTATGCACTGATAGGTTCTTTCTCTAAGAAATCGCTCCTTCCCACACACCGCGTTTTTAATAGCCAGCTCATTCAGTTACTGCAAAAACGAAATTTCCTTACCCTGTTTTGGTTCCTTCGAGCCTGTGGTAAATTTTGGCAGCTGAAAGTAAAAAAAAAATTGTTAAGCTAAATTATTATTAACATTTACGTCAAAAGCGACTAAAACAAGCCGTCGTAGCATTTAGTGACGGGTTAAAAAATTTCAAGGGAAGCGAAAGGTGACAAACACCTTACGTTACCTGGTGGAACTTTCACCAAAGAAAAAGTACCACACCAAAAATTCTTTTAATCATAGACAGAAAAAAAGTCTTTAAATCAAGTTAGAAGAATCGCCCAAAATAGATAATTTATTTGATGAGCGGAAGTGCGCTACACTATTTTTATGTGCAAACCATCTTAAAGCGAGACGCGTTAGGAGTGCTTGACTGACCAACATTAATTTTCTCTGAACACTATCAATATATAAACAAGAGAAAAGGTTTGGAGAATCTATAACATTATCACTTAAGGTGAATACTTTGATCATTTAACAAATTCTCTCATCTAATTCTTTATGTAAATGTATGGAGATCAGTTTGGAGAATTTTCAGTTCTATTTTCCCTACTTGCTGTTTTGATCCCATACACTCAAACACCTAAAAACGGCAGCCTTGGTCATAAAAGTGATATATTTAGGCAAGTCGGTTTTACAGAGTGTCTCCTCTAACAAATAAAAGCTCCGCAATTAGTTAATCATTGTCCGCAAAGAGCGAAACTACCCGATAAGGAACGCGTGCCACTCGCCCGTGGCTTCTCACGATATCTCCACATGAAGAGCTTGCTTGTACGCTAGCATTCTTGCTTTAAATGTGGGCCTGACATTGAACTTCTTACTCTACGTGTTGTTTAGCCTGTTCCAGGCGTTCAGATCGTGGCGGTTGCACAAAGAGATGTGAGCAGAAAAAAAAAAAACTCGAGGGAGTGGGGTAGTGTTAGTAGGGGGGGAGGGTCCTTCTTCGCTCCCTCTCCCTCCTTTCCTCCTTATTTTTTTCCCGCTCTCTTCCTTCACGCCTCACTCTACTTTCACAACGCCTGGAACAGGCTACGTGTTGTTACTAATTTACAACTTTATACAACCAACCTTGGTGTTGCCTCCACTGAGAGCAGCAAGCACATCTGTATCAGATATAGCACCCTGCAAATATCAAACAATGAAATTGCATTTGCTTCCTTTCTTACTTATTCCTTTCCACCCTCCAGAATGAAGCTTTTTCAAAAGGGGCAATACAATGTGGCTCTAACTTTAAGTGGCTCACATCCTAAAGCGTCATTATTGAAATCAAATTGCAATTATTATACAGTAAATTATTGCAGTGCTGACAAGGATCTACAAAAGCGCTGGCCACCAACAAAAATTACAGTTTAGTTGCCAGAAAAAGAAAAAAATGTTTATTAGGGATAATAACCTTAACCATATCTTTCTCAACGCCTTTGTTAAAAAAAGAAAACTAACAGAGAACAAAAAAAACAAAGGAAACGTCCTCACACATAAAATTCCATCTCTCATCACTCAAAATGCACGAAAATGCATTTTTTAGGGGCCAGGGACCCGTTTCTCGAAAGTCCCGGTAGCTTTTCGGGCCGAAATCAAATATTCAAATCGAATTATGAAGAATAAGAACGCAGGTCCTGGCTAACAAACTACTCCATTTTGTTTCATTAACTGATAGTTTTATTATGTAAGATGCAAAACTATTGAAACTTCTATCTTTCATGTAAACAACAACAGCTTTATTGGCCCGTTAATTCTCAGGACTTTCGAGAAACGGGCCCCAGCCTCTGAATACCAATTTTCCACGGGAGAGTACTCCCCCACTGAAAGGGAGGCCGCCGCCGTAAGTACTCTGTGCCCAACAACGTTTTTATGAATGTTATGGGAGCAAGCAAGAACAACGAGTTTAGTATCAGGGAATTGTTTAAATTAAAATAAAACCACAAACGTCTGAATCTTGATCCACAGGTAACTCCCAAGGCCTTGACTGAGGTTTGCTCTCCACTACCATACTTTGTGTGGGTTCCTTGACAACTTGCCCCACTCCCCCTGGAGTAGGTAGTTTCCTCTTAGTGGGTGTACTGTGCTGAGAGTTGGTAGGACTGTTCTTTGGACTCACCCCACCTGTTATGGCCTTCTTGGCTGGTGAGGGGGACTGGGTATCAGCTGAGCGAACGGGAATTCGTGATTGGTTGCTGGCATCAGGAATGGAGGGCTTACGTTCTGGGGGATAATGGACACAAACTGTAAAAAAGGAATTCCCCGTGGTACACCAACACCATTGAACAAACATTTTTTACTTTACATGTAATATGAAAACACCAAATGCAGCCCCACAGTTTCTATAAGCTTTTTACGATAAGATATAATTCATAAAGAAAAAACAAAAGAAATTTAAAATGTTTAATGAGTGTCTAAAGTATATCTGATAAAGACACAGCTAAACTTTACATGCAATTCTTTAGACCAAAATAACCCCAAATCAAAATATTAGTGCAAGAATGAGTTGATCTATATCAGAGAGTTTGAAGCCATTCAAAAAACTCACAGTCACGTATTATCAGGTTTAATGTACACTCCTGCTCATTTTTTAAACAGAACAAAAAACATAAGAACTTACCTTGAATGGTTTCCGGCTTAGCTACAGTAGTCTTAACAGGGATTCGACTTAAAGCTAGAAAAGACAGGATAAAGATAGAAACAATATCATTATATGAGATGTGGTAGACTGGAATGTTGAATCATCATTTTTATCAAAGCATTATATGAAAAAAAAAACTAAACCTAAAAAATCCCTAAAAATAAGGCAAGAATAAAATATAAATATAAGATCACACAGATTGATAAAGTTGAATAAAATAATAGTTAGGTGTATATCTAATCAAGGACTTCACAAAACTTAAAGACGTAGACCTAGCTGAAGTGGTATAAAAAAAATAGCAGATGTATGTTTTCACCATTTCCAACCGATTTCCTTACTGTTAATAATGTTTCCATGTATCCCTAGAATAGAGTATTCATGACAGAACATAACTCACATTTTGAACTCTGAGTGGAGACGTCTGAGCCAGTTCGGCTGACTTGTTTGGAAGACTTATTAAGCGCTGCTAACAAACTTGGCTTAGCTGATGCTGTCTAAAGATTTAAAACAAAAAAAAAAGAAGAGAACATTTCATAAAATATTAATAATCTTCAGAATCTTCCTTTTTTTACTTTGCTATGCCTTCGTTACATCATTTAATTCATCAACACACAAAGCAATGACCACAATCAGAAGCGAAGGTTTAGCAAATCAACTGACATTACAGGATGTCATCAGGAGCCTATGTTTGATCCTTTACTTGTGCAGTCTCTGGGACATTTCTGAAGGGGAAAAAGCAGTTTTTGGACTACCACAATTCACTAAATGTTTTGAGAGACACACTAAATTAAAATTTCAGAATTAATAATGACATCTAAGGACCAAAATCAGTTTTAAAAATATTGGTGTTTTATACCCTTTAAGGTCATACATTGATCATTGTGTTGAGTAGGAAAAATTATTGTTCTCAGGTTAAACCCCATGAGAACAGACTGAACACCTACATTGTACCATAAATGCTCACCAGTGCCCCCTTTCAAATAAGTGCCCTCTGGAGTGGTCAGTCTAAAAATATCAATAAGCACCCCCTTTGATATAAGTATCCCCAAACCTCACCAAGGAAAAAAACCTTGCCAAATAAACATATAAACTTGTAAAAGCGGAGGATTACATAGAAATAACAATATACGTTAACATACATTGTACATGTAGCATGATAAATATATTTTGTAGTTCAATTTTATCCTTGGTTTAAATTCTATTTTCTTTTGAATTTGGGTGTGGTAATTAATGTATGATAACGAGCTTAAAACAAAAGAAAATAAAATTTACATCAAGGATAAAATTGAACCTAGTGATATCACAACTCATAGGGTTTACAAACCTTTGAATTTGATCCAAACATGTTGTTATCTTCATCGCCAGAAGAATCCCATGAGCCACCTCCTGCTGAATGACTAAAATAACAGGAAAAACAAGTTTATTACTATCATCATCATTACTTAAATTAATTTTAAAACAGCTCCTAAAGGCTAATTGAATGTTTTAAGTAAAATTAGTTGAATTTATGATTGCTTTAACTATAAATCTATCGATTAGTGATCTTTATCTTTAGTGTTACAACCATACATAATATTGTCTATTCTGTATTAAGTAACATAATATAACTACACAAAAATAGGTATTCAATCCAGATTTTGAAAACACTGATACATGTTAATATATCCATGTTTCACTGAAAAAAATGTTAAGCCTTGATCAGCCTCACAAAATGAAGTCAGCAACAATTGTAAACATGCATCGCAGTAATGTTAACTGACACAAGCAAGTTGATTTACAACAAATACATGTACATGTGCACTAAACTTAACAAGTCACATTAAAGAAAAAAGTCAATTAATCTAAAATATTAGAAGAAATATTGTAAAAATGCACTAACTCACTAGTCCACACTCCACCATAAACAGATTATGCAAATGTTATACTTAGTGTACCACATGTAGCTGTGTTGTTCAACGGTGTCTACCTGTAAACTATGCTAAACGACAAATCCACCTGCCTTTTACACACTTAATAAATTAATCATGAGCTCAGAATAACATGAATTAGCATTGCATATTTTTATACAGCTCAATTAAAGAATGACCAGTTATTCAAATGTTAGTATTACTTTTTTTATAAGGTAACAAGACACTGGATTTTTACAGCTGCATGTTCTTGTAAGTAGGAACATTCATTTTTCCGGCCTAGTGATACAGTGTAAAAAATGCTAAGTTCTAAGATATGAAGAATTTCACGAGGTCACATTTCACATCATGCAGCAAAAAAGATCTATTATGATTGTAGCAAATTGTGGGATTTCTCTACTGCAGAAAAGGCAGAGAATGCTCAAACTGATAAGACTGATTTGCAACTTTGAAAGTTTGCTCAGCAGGCTACACTGTAACCCTGCAATGAAAGAAAATCATGTTACATTAAGTTTGTTTGCACAATTCAACTTACTGACTGACTGAATCATCTTCTTTAGCTGATGCACTGTTGTATCCTGCCAAAAGATTAATAGATATACAATTGAACAAGTAAACAATATTAAAATAAATATAATGCTGCAGCCAAAAGAGGTTTCACTTGAATGCTATGAATTGGGTGTTTCTTGGTCCTGGTGTTGCAGAACCATTCTCGGTTCCCTTTTTTTTGCGAGTATAGTTCGGTGTCTTTTCAATATTTTGTTTTACATAATTTTTTGGGGTGGTGCACCCATCCATAAAACCAAGAAACTACCTATGAATGTCACTCTAATGCTAAAATCTGTGGCAAAACTTTTTCATATTATTCTTGTACTTACAGTGTAAAGACAAGTTTGAATTTTTGTGAATTCTTTCTATTTTGATTACCATTTACGGGAACTAAAAGGGTTTCATTCCCTACTTCTTTTTTGAAATACAACCTGGGGGATACACACTGAACATAACCCAATTACAAGGGCCCCACACAGATACATTTTACTGTAACTGTGTGAGAAGATATCAAAATCAAAAACATTAAACTGACATGTTGAGCACAAAAATACACACCTCCCTCATCAGCAACAGGGCCTCCAAATGAAAAACCCACTTCATTGGTTGCTGCACCAGATGCAGTTATTCCAGCTGAAAACTCTCTTCTCTTGCTTGGTGTTGACTGGTTTGATTTGATGGATCTGGCTTCAATCTTTGCTTGTTCTAGCTGTTCTTCATACTCCTCAATAACGTTTGAGACACTGCAATATTTTGTACTTTAAATCAATAAATAATATACATAGAGGATATTACACAGTGGCGCAAAGATATAAATTTTATTTTCGAGTGGCAAAACAATATTTTACGAACAAGCGCTAGATGTTTATGGGGATATTTGAGCCTAAATTCAGTCCTAAATTATTGTCAGAATTAAGGCTTGACAAACGCGATCATACTGTAATCCGACTGGATGCTCTAAAGCCCGATAACAGTGTATCAAAGTTCAGGAAAAGAAAAAGAAAGTCCTTGACAAAACGTGAAATTAGGCACTTTCACATTGTAGTTGTGCAGTGATGGCGAAGAAAATCACGCTTTTTTGTACATTTCATGTACAAAAAACCCAATGCACGTGCAAAGTTGTTGTTTTGCCAATGAGACCTTGAGACCCATCATAAATGCTTCCAAGAATTCACCACCCTTAAAAAGAAAAATGAAAGCAAAAGAACTTTCCAGCTGCTCAATTCCCTAGCTACTTATTACATAATTATTCCAGGCCACTTGAAATCTTTGTGACTACCCTAATGTATGGGGATAAATGCTTGTAGGTCAAACCTGTGATGTCCATGAATGACGGCATGATCTGAAGCTTTCCAACCCTGAGAATCTTTCAATTCAGTATTTGCTTTGTGCTGAAGGAACAGCCTAACAATTCCTATGTGTCCTTCACTTGCAGCAGTCATTAATGATGACCTGCAAGGCAATAAATTTATCATGGTTAAAAACTGACTATAATTGATTACATGTACACTTCCTGTTACCTTCCTGTTATGATTAGCCAAACTTCAAACAGACTGAGCCTGGCCAACTATCTGGGATTTTCTGTTGAAGGGTTAGCGACAGCAAGGTCCTCTCCCGGACCCTACAAATGAGGTTAGGGCTAGCGACTATAATGCAATGGTGGATTTAGACTGTAAGCTGACATTTTTCCAACATTTGACACATCATCACCAGCAATCATTTATGAACTGTAAAGGTTTTTGAGTACAAATTCTGAATGGTTTTAACCAAATATATGCAACATGCCTTCTGAAGTTCATTCTAACATTTTGTTCTCTTTCATGAATATTTGAAATTATTTCAAAAGAAACATTGCATAGCTAGGATCATATGAAGATGCTTTGTCTGCAATGACATAATTATTTTGTTACAAACAAGTACACTGTGCTAGGGATGAATGTTTCCGGGGTAGGGGAACGCATATCACTAGGGATATATGTTTCCTGGGTAGGGGAACACATACAGTGTATCACTAGGGATATACGTTTCGGGGTAGGGGAACACATACCACTAGGGATATGTGTTTCACTGGATAGGGGAACACATATCACTACGGATATATGTTTCCTGGATAAGGGAACAAAATAATATCACTGGGGATATATGTTGCCCGGGTAGGGGAAGACATATCACTAGGGATATGTGTTCCTGGGTAGAGGAAAACATATCACTAGGGATATATGTTTCCCAGGTAGGGGAACACATATCACTAGTGATATGTGTTTCATGGGTGGGGGAACACATATCCCCAGTGATATGTGTTCCTCCAACCCAGGAGCACATATTTCTAATGGTATGTATTCCAGTACCCCAAAATTACATATCCCAAGACAAATGGGTTTCCTCTACCTAGGAACACATATCCCTAGTGATATGTATTCCCATACCCAGGAAACACATATCAATAGTGATATGTGTTTCCCTACCCCAAAACAAATATCCCTAGTGATACACTGTATGTGTTCCCCTACCCAGGAAACACATATCAATAGTGATATGTGTTCCTCTACCAGGGAAACACATATCACTGGGGTTATTATCCCAAGTGGTGTGCGACCCTCAGACCCCTCGCCTGGTGGGGGGCCTCCGGCTCTCTTGCCAGCTTCTTTTCCTTATTCTCCTGCTACTTGAAATCTTTTTGACAACCCTCTATGGTGATAAATTTGAAAGCCTAAAATTGCCTTTAGCACTCAATTTTATCAAGCAGCCTAAATCTACATCCTAACTGTCTACTTTAAAACACAGTGAGAACCCTGCAAGTAGGGCAGCATTATAAATTACCTCCCATGAGCATCAACAGCATTGATATCTGCACTTTCGTTAATCAGGAAATTTACAAAGTCCAAGTTTCCAAGAGATGACGCTACATGCAGAGGAGTAAAACCTTCCTGCAGGGGGTTAAAACATAATAAAAAAAAGTTATTGCATAAATTTAAGGATGGTTTCAAAGCAAGTATAATATTAAGTATGTTGCATCTAGGCTGTATTTATAATCACAGCATGTATCTTAGTGCATAATTTTTAATAATGTTCATAAGCTGGATGTGTAAAGTAAAAGCTGATAGTTACCCTGTCTTGAGCATCAACATGGGCCTCCCTCTCTAACAGCAACACAGCCGTATCAACATCACCATTAGCTGCTGCAAGATGCAGTGATGTGCTGTTATTGACATCAACAACATTTGCCTCAGCTCCATTGTCTAATAAAATTTTGGCACATTCTTGAAACTGACATTCAACAACCTGTACATGAGAGGGTAATGTTGAACAAAATGGTAAGTATTAATGTTAACGGGAGATGGCAAAACGAAAAAGGAATTTAAATAGTACAATAGCTTTTTAAATTTTTCTTCTATATAACATTTACAATAAAACTCATATTAGTGACAAATAAAACAACATACCTAGAGTTATAATCACTTACCAATATAAATGGTAATTTACCTTCATAAGCGGTGTTCGACCATAGTTGTCACAAAGATTTGTTTTTGCATTGTTTGCCAAGAGAAACTTGACAATATCATCTCTTCCCAGGGCACAGGCAAGATGAAGTGCCGTTCTGAGTTTAAAAATTATGAGATAATTTGCCTTAGTTTCAAAATTGAGCATATAAGATTTAAGAGTATGCCCTTCAGAAAACAAGAAATGCATTCACATAGTTCTTAGTATCCTTCCCAGTTAATCCTTTTGCAAGAAATGATGATCATTAAAAAGCACTTTGCTTTCCGCGGAGAAAATCTAATTGGTGGGAAATATAGTATTGCACTGAACATGTACGGTGCACAGTAACTGACCACAATAAATCACATATTGAAAATATTTGTCATGTCAAATAAAAACATCACGTTCAAGGGCAACTCTCAGGAAAACTGAATTATCTGTATTTATTATTATTTTTATTATCATCATTTTCATTAAGATCACAATCTCTCAGTGTATGTTATAAAACGTTTTTACTAATCCTATGTCAAACATCTGGAAGAACGAGTCACGAATCGAAGTTTATATCGATATGGGTATGAAATACTAAGTCCATTTTAGGCCGTTTCATTCCAACATGGGATAATGGTTTTCATGTTACGAGGTAACTGCCTCGAATAAAAATCTTCATTGTCTAATTTATTATAAGACAAATGAAGTGAAAGATTAATCAGTCATTAAGCTTCGCTGCTCACACTTTGTAAATACAAATTGTATTTGCATACGAACGGAAAGGTGAAAAAATGCAGCCTGTACGTATAATCATAAATTAGCTGCATACTTAAATGACGATATTTCATCACTGTAAAAACTATTGAAGACGTTGACTAAGTTAACTAAGAGTCAAGAAAAACATGGATTTACTGATAGAATGGGTCGAGAAACTGAGGACGCCGTGTGAGTTGCCAAAGAAACGGATAGCAGCCGATCACGAGAAGTCCTGCGAGCAAAACAGCAGCACTTTTAATTGCTGATTATCAGACTAATTTTGTCACTCCATCCTACCTGTTTTCTCTGTCGAGTTGATTTACGTCTCCCTTCTTAGCAAGTTGCTTGACTTTCGTTAAATCGCCGGTCCACACAGCTTTATGAAGCTTCGGCAAATCTTTATCCTTGGCGATCGAATATCCAGCCGTGCTGCCGGCATCGCTGAGATCTTCCGTGGACAAGGCATTCTTCGCACCGGGACTTTTCCTCTTGAAGAGCTTCTTAAAGCCCGCCATGTTGGATTAACCTGGTTAATTCATCATCTACGGTAATTTTGAGGCATTTCGACGGATCTCATCCGATCTCGAGCTTCTTTCTTGATGTGCGGAGAGCGGCAGTTGAATGTAAACTGGGTACCAGGTTCCTATCCAGCTAAGAAAATTATTTCCCAAAAGGCATTTCGCATTTAGGGAAAAATTCCAGCTATTTTAACCTGAGATCAGGCTGTATTTTCGTTTCGCTTAGACTGTTCACAGTCCTCTATTTTTCCGTAAGATCGTCGAGATCGAGCGCTTTGTGTTACGGGCTGCCATCTTGCATGAGTGTCAAAACTACTAAGGGGGCGGAGGCTATTTTTCTCGCCCACCTCCCCCTAGAGCTATAATCCCCGACGCCCGCCCCATCGGTACATTTCAAAACCAAGATGGCCGTCATTAACGGTAAGACGCGCTTTATCTCAACGATCTCACGAAAAAATAGGGGACTGTGAACAGTCTACGTTTCGCTTTGTAAATAACATTTTAGCGGTAGCCGTTAGAGAGAATGTATGAGAACCGCTCAAATTGGGCCTGATCTCAGGTTATAAAGCTCAGTTTGAGCTAGTCCATGAACGAAAAAGAGGGATTGCAGATTTAACAATGAAGGAACTTGAAAACGATATCCCATATATCACCGTTTAATTATTATTTTTCTTTTAACCAGATTACAGAAACGTCGCGGATGAAAGATCACCTCAAGAATACTTCAGATACTTTATCCGCTCCAAGCGTATGTAAGGGCATAGTCTGAAATTTCAGCCGTCTCTTGATCTTCGCTCCATCCCTCACAACAGGTGACCAGGTCGAAGAAACGGCTGATGTCTCGGACTTGAAAAGGAAACAGCCCACGAACTAGCAAAGGAACCTTTAGGGAAAAAATGAGACCTGCTTTGCCTAAGCTAAGAAGAGAAAAATCAACTTTCGAGTGGAAAAAAAAAATTAGAAGAAAAATGATTTCTGTTCGCGGATAAATTGTAAGGTGTCATGTGTGATCATGTTTTAGATAGGTCGACATCAGTTTCTGTGAAGGGAGAATTCGTGTTCTTGTTTTGGCCGTTTTTCGGTTTGGTAAGTGTTGAATTGCCATTTGAGGCTGTTTTGGGGGACGTTCTTCGACCACGTTTCCTTTCAAACCTCGCAGAGACTGATAAAAGAAGCTACATAAAGTCCCATAGTGCAATTCGACGCAACACGGAACCAGTCTCATGCAAAGCTTCATTTGACAGAAATATATTGATATAAATGACAAAAGAGCAAAGAGAAAAGCGACTTGAGTTTTCCCAACATTCCGTAGGACAGACTAGCTGTCCTTCTTCAGGAGATTTAAAGAAGAATCGGAAAGTCGTTACAATTCAAATAGAAACCTGGGAGGAGGCGGCGCCACCCCGGGGGGGGGGGGGTACTGCCATATATGGGGTATATGGGTATGTGTAGAAAAAATCATATTTAAAAAAAATTATTTTAAAAAAAAAAAAAAAAGAAAAAAAAAAAGCGCGTTGGGTTTTCCCAAAACTCCGTGGGAAAGAGCAGCTGTCCCTTTTAAGGGGATTTAAAAAAAAAACGGAAAAGGGTTTAAAATCAAAAAGAAACCTGGGGGGGGGGGGGGCCCCCCCGGGGGGGGGGGGGGTACTGCCATATATGGGGTATATGGGTATGTGCCGCTGTGAAGGGTATGGTTTTCAAGCAGTTTACTCTAGGATAGGGTATATAAATCAGAGCGTTTGGGTCTAGAATAGGGTACCATTTTTCAGGAAACTGATCAGTTGGTTGAAGATTTTATCTAGACTGGGGAAACAGCTACTCTAGGATAGGAGGATTTTGGGAGTTTACTCTAGTATAGGATAGCAAAATTCAGCTGAACTAGCTCTGGTATAGGTCAAGGGTTCCAGGGTCCCAGCGGCACATCCCCACCCAGAAATTCCTAAAGTGCCCCCCGAGGGTGCCTCTGAGGCTTTAGTCTGCGTAGCTGGCGGTTTTTTTGGTGTCTTTTTTCTTTTGTGGTTCGTAAAGTAAGAGATACAGCCGCGCAAAAGCTGAACCGACGTCGAACCAGAAAACGATGGGGGAGGGGGCAAGGGGAGAAAGAGGTGAGAAAAAGCTCCTTTCTCCCCACCCTTCCTAAGACAAAAAGGGAGTTTATAAGCAACAATGACGGTGACGGCTACGAGCGAAAACGTCACTTAAAAAGTGAATTCGCGCGGCCTCAAACTTTATCGCGCTTATTCCATCTTGTTTAATTCGTCAAATGTTGGCAAAAGGTTTGGAGTTGAATTCTAAGGGACTGTATCAAAGTTCGGAGAAAGAAAACGGAAAGTTGTTGTCTTATGTTCCCGTTCTCGAAAAAACGTGAAATTAAGCAGTTTCACGTTGTAGTCGTGCGACGGCGGCAGAGAAATGTACAAAAAGCGTGCTGCACGTGCAAAGTTGTTGTTTTGCTTATCTAAACCTATTGCTTTTTTGCCGTTCTCGTTGCCGTCGCCGTTGTCGTTGCAGAGAAGAGAGTAGCCTGTTTAATCTTGTTTAAGGCAAAGGAACATGAAAATCTCTTCAGTAGCACGTCCTCGCTGTGGCCAGATAATGGAGTTTTTCCCCGCGTTGCTTTTTCTACTTAAGTTTTTTACGTGTATATATTTTTCTTGTCCATAGCTAAGGGGACAATCTAGGAACTCGTGTTCACTTTGTCGTCTTCTATTTGGGACTTAGTTTCATACAGTGTCGTGATCGGAGGAGATAAAAAAAACATGGCAACTTTCATATTACTTTCATTGTTATTTTAATTTATGTTGCTCTTTAATTTGAGTTTACAGTTCTTAATATAAGCCACATCTTTTAAGAGGCGACTTGGTTTCAGTTAAGCATTGTTATTGCTACCATCAAATCATTTTATTTTTATTGTTCTCATTAAATTTATTATATACCATTGTTAATAGTATGTTGCAAGTCGCTTTATTCGCCACTTCATAAACAGTAAGGAGAATGCAGGGTATAAGTTTACGGTGCAAATGATTTTTAGGATCACTTGGGACTTGCCTAGGACAAACGTTAGCTTCATTGTTCAAATGGTTGATCTAAAGGCCAATTATTCACTACTTATTGCTACTTATTGCTATTATCACTACTTCTCGTTTCTAAAGTGGCGAATAAACTTCCGCAATTGCCAGTCAACTTCCGCTCGATCCATCTTAGTGTTGGATGTCAGCCTTGCATCCATCGTTATTGCAGTGTGCAACAAAGCATGCACTATCCACCACAAGGCCAGCGGGCGGAGGTGAATAACATGCGTCAATCAAATTCTTATATTCCTCCAGGGTAGAGCACCGGCGTTCAAAGCGGGTGGTCGTACCTAGGGCCAAGAACTCATAGGTAATGCAAAGGTGCTGATCCGGACGGCATGTTTCAAGGTCATGGCTGCTGTCCCGCTTGCAGGTAAAACCATTATTTGCGGTGCAGACTTTGCATTGCAGAAGTGACGGCGCTAGCGAAAACACACAAAGTAAAAAGTAAAAAAAACTCCTTGCAATCAGCGAGGCCCTGTTAGGGTAAAATTCCCACAAACGTCATGGCTTTGGAACAGCCAGATAACACAGGTGAAATGATGACAAATTAACGACGAGCGACGAGCGACGAGGGCAATCGCATAATATTATACAGTAGTAAGATATCTACAGGGACATGGCTCCCTCCTCAATACACAAAACGACGGGTTCTGAAATTCTAGGGACATAATTAGTAAATATTCCTCCGCTCCCCCGCCCCCGCCCCTCTAGAGGGCCTCATCAGAAGAGTTCCTCTACTTTTCCGCCAATCAGTTAATTAATGACTTCCATCAAACTGGACACTCAATCCATAACCTCAATCCATAGGAACTGTAGTAAAGTACTTATCAGATCTTCAATTTTCGGTTGGAATTTCCGAAAAGTGATCTCACAAGGAATTTCCTATATTTTCTCTCAAATAGTAAGCACCCAAAATCTCCTTTTCGGTGTTAGAGAGAGTGAGATCTGAGTATGAGATTAAGTACATCTACACAGTCTGATATGTGTGCGTGGGAAGGAAAGGAAAAAGAGACCGAAAAAAGAATCAATCAATTTAATTACTCTTCCTCATTGACTTTGGACAGGATGTTTGGAGCCCACGCCTCCCCCGTTTATATTTTCCTCCCTCTTCCAGGAGAACTTCGCGGGTCACAGGTGATTTGTCGGAGATGAAATAAAGTGTTGTCGGCGAGTTTCAGGAGTAAAATGTTCCGAGCGAAATAAATTGTTAAGTAACCGAGACAGTTAGCTACAACTTAAGACCCGCAAAAAGTGACCCGCGAAGATCAGACAATCGTTACTTCGCTAAAAGAAAAAAATGGAGCTGTTTGTTTTAAAATTCGTTACCTGCGTTTGGAAACGTTGCTGAAACACTGAACTTGGCGACAAAGAAGGCCATGAAAATTACAGCTGACGTCTTCATTGTATAAGAAATTAAATCAGCTAGAGGTTTGAAGAAAAAATAATGTATGTTGGTGGTTCCTGTTGACTGAAAACTGAGATTCGAGAACCACACTATTACGCAAATCCTATAAATTCATGATCCATCAAAGCAGTGCAGAGCGGTTTTTCATCTTATTTCTCCGAAATTAACAACAATCTTTTCATAACTTGTCACTTTTCCTGGAGAAAGCGACTAAGTTTAGCTTTCACGGACCAGGATCAGCACATTTACAACTTCCACGAAAGGTAGTGCAAAAGAAAACTCAAGACTCACCAGAAACGTGATTTACCTCTAACTTGCTTCCTTCTTGAGCTCAGTAGTATTCACTGCCGTCAGTTGCGTGTTTTCCTTTTGATTAATACCTCTAGCATTATTTTTTTTTTCGAATAAGCTTTGGGTATGGCAGGTGGAATATAATTAGAATGACGTTATACATACGTGATCATGACTTCATGGCGCCTACAGGTACATTTTTTGAAAACACTTGAGCCCAAAACTGCTTAAACGTAACTTCAAAGAAATAGAGTTATTTTGACCAAATTTCTTCTTTCTTTTTTTAGAAATCTTACACAAGGTTGTCTTAACTAAACAACAAGAAATTTTGGTAACTGCTA